CATACTGTTCCACACAATAGAAGCAGAAGAGTCATTGCAAACTGTTTTTATGAGGCTACAATTACCTTGGAAAACAAGGCACACAAAGACACAACTAAGAAAGAGAACTACAGACCATTATCCCTGATGAGCATTGATACAAAATTACTCAATAAAATACTAGCAAATCGAATCAAAGAGCACATCAGAAAAATCCTCCATCATGATCAAGTAGGCTTCATCCCAGGGATGCAGGGATGGTTCAACATATGAAAATCTATCAATGTAATCCACCATATACACAAACTGCAAAAGGAAAACCATGACCATCTCAGTATATGCTGAAAAAGCCTTTGACAAAATCAAACATCTCTTTACAATAAAAGTCCTAGAGAGATCAGGGATAACAGGAACATACCTGAATATAATAAAAGCAATATACAGTAAACTCACAGCAAACATCAATCTAAATGGAGACAAACTCAATGCAATTCCTCTAAAATCAGGAACATGACAAGGCTGTAACTCTCTCCATATCAGTTCAATATTGTACTTGAAGTTCTAGCTAGAGCAATAAGACAACAAAAGGAGATCAAGGAGATACAGATTGAAAAGGAAGTAGTCAAACTTTCACTATTTGCCAATGATATAATAGTCTACATAAGTAACCCAAAGAATTCTACCAGGGAACTCCTACAGCTGATAAACACCTTCAGCAAAGTGGCAGGATACAAGATTAACTCAAAAAAATCATTAGCCCTACTATGTAGAGACAATAAAAGGGCTGAGAAAGAAATCAGAGAAGCATCACCCTTTACAATAGCCACAAAAAATATAAAATATCTTGAGGCAATGCTAATCAAGCAAGTGAAAGAACTGCAGCAATAACTTTGAGTCTTTAAATAAAGAAATTAAAGAAGATACCAGAAAAAGGAAAGATCTCCCATTCTCTTGGAAAGGTAGAATCAGTGGAGTAAAAATGGCAATCTTACCAAAAGCAATCTACAGATTCAATGTAATCCCCATTAAGATCCCAACATAATAATTCACAGACCTTGAAAGAACAATTCTCAACTTTATATGAAAAAACAAAAGACTCAGGGTAGCCAAAACAACCCTGTACAATAAAGGAAATTCTGGACGCATCACCATCCCTGACTTCAAGAACTATTATAAAGTGATAGTCCTGAAAACAGTTTGGTATTGACACAAAAACAGACAGGTAGACCAATGGAATAGAATTGAACACTCGGATATTAACCCACATACCTATGAACACATGATTTTTCGCAAAGAAGCTTAAACTATACAATGGAAAAAAGAAAGCATCTTCAATAAATGGTGTTGGCATGACTGAATGCTGACGTGTAGAAGACTGCAGATAGATACATATCTGTCACTGGGCACAAAAATTAAATACAAATGGATCAAAGACCTCAGCATAAATCCAGTCACATTGAACCTCTTAGAAGAGAAAGTGGCAAGTACCTTTGAAAGAACTGGTACATAAGACTCCTTTCTGAACATAACACCAGTAGCAGATTCACTGAAACTGAGAAGCTTCTGTAAGGCAAAGGACACTGTTACCAAGACAGTACAGCAGCACACAGAATGGGAAAAGATATTCACCAACCCCACATCTGATAGAAGGCCGATCTCCAAAATTGACAAAGAACTCAAGAAGCAAGTCTCCAAAATGCCAAATAATCCAGTTAAAAAGTGGGGTACACAACTATATAGAAAATTCTGAATAGAGGAGTCTAAAATGACTGAAAGACACTTAAGAAAAATGCTCATCATGCTTAGCCATCAGGGAAATGCAAATCAAAACAACTCTGAGATACCATCTTGCATCTCTCAGAATGGCCAAAATCAAAAACACCAATGACGGTTTATGCTGGAGTGGATGTGGAGAAAGGGGAACACTCCTCCACTGATGGTGGGAGTGCAAACTTGTACAGTCACTTTGGAAATCAGTATGGCGATTCCTCAGGAAAATGGGAATCAGTCTACCTCAAGATCCAGCAATTCCACTCTTACGCATATACCCAAAACATGCACATTCATGTAACAAGGACATCTGTCCCACTATGTTCATAGCAGCATGATTTGTAATAGCCAGAACCTGGAAGCAACCTGGATGCCCCTCAACTGAAGAGTGGATAGAGAAAATATGGTACATTTACACAATGGAGTACTACTCAGCGGGGGAAAATATTGGAATCTTGAAACTCGCATGTAAATGGTGGAGCTAGAAGAAACCATCCTGAGTGAGTTAACCCAGTCACAAAAAGACAAACATGGTATGTACTCACTCATATATGAATTTTAGACATGGAGCAGAGAACTACCCACCTACAATCCACAGCGCCAGAGAGGCTAGGAAACAGTGAGGGACATACATGTTATGCCAGAGAAGCAGGGGACAGGAACTCCTGAGCAGATTGAGAGCATACAGGGAGGGGACAGGGAGCTGGGAGAAGGTAAGGGGGAGAAGAGGAGGAGAGAGGAAGAAATGAGAGAGAAGGAAGTTTGAGTCTCGGAAAAATACAGGAGAGCAGGATGAGAGATACCATAATAGAGGGAGCCACTGTAGATTTGAGGAGAGATCCGGCACAAGGCATATTTCCAGAAATCTACAAAAATGAACTGGCAATCTTACAATAGTGGATAGCTTAAATGCCATTCTCCTATAATGATATCAATAACTAACTTACATGCCATCCTAGAGCCTTCATCCAGTGACTGATGGAAGCAGAGGCAGACACCCATAGCTAAACACTGTACTGAACCTCTGGCACCCAGCTGCTGAGAGGGAGGAGTGATGAGCAAAGAGGTCAAGACCAGCCTGGTGAAGCCCACAGAGGGAGCTGAGGTTAACAAGGGGGAGCTCATGGACCGCAGACTGATGGCTGAGAGGCCACCATAAGACTGATCCAGAACCCCTGAACGTGGGTGTCAGTGAGGAGGCCTCAGAAATCCATGGGGCCTCAGGTAGTGAATCAGTATTTATTCCTGGTGTAGGAATGGACTTTAAGATCTCATTCCACTGGAGGGATATGCTCTCGATCTGGACACATGGGGCAGGGCCTGGACCCTGCCTGGAATGATATGACAGACATTGTGGATTGCCCATGGAGTGCCTCACTGTCCCTGGGGAGTGGGTGGAAGATGGGGTTGGGTCCTGGTGGGAGGCAGGGGAGGGAGGTGGGGAAGGGAGGGAGGGTGAGGGAGAGGGGATTGACTTATGAAGCAGACTTATTTCTAATTTAAATTAAAAAAATTAAAATTAAAAAATTATGATCTGAACATTTAAAGAAGCCACAGGGAGGTTTTCCACACATTCCATGATATGATGATATTCCTCAGGGAAAGTCTAGCAGCACAGATGCAATTGAGATGACAAGCCCACAGATTCCTGCATTGGTAAGCTCAGGAATCCTTTCCAGGGAACCCTCTAGTTTACACATCTCTATGCACTCTCTTTTGATACTATTAAACTAAAGATATTTTTCTGGTGACCACTCATGCTTTCTGACAGTTCTTTGAAATAGGATATTTAGGTTTAGGTGGTCAACCTAAGGATAACAACTGTAGTCAAAAGAAAATTTATTTGAAGTAAATTTAATAAGTTCCTGTCAACAAATATTTATTGATTGGATATTCACTATATGTTTTTGGTGCGTAAGAGACTAAAAAAAGGAAATCTTTGCCCTCATGAAGCTGGCATTACAGAAAAGTGCTATGGATCAAATGATCCAGATGCTAGGAGGCATTGGTGCAGCATCAGAAGAGTGGGGGTGCAGATTAGGGATTCAGAAGGGAGCACTGTTTAAGTAGGGCAGTCAGGGTAAGCTTGAAGATGAGGGGACATTTGATCAAAGGTAACAGGGAGAAGAAAATGAACCATAGGGTTTTTCAGATACGTATACAGAAGCTAAGGTAGAAATGACATAGGACCTTCTCATTTCCAGGAACCTGGTCATCCACGAAGGACCTGCCTTTGGACAAGAGAAAGAAGAACAGAGAAAGGGAGGGAAGAGGCATGTAAACAGAGCGGGGATAGAACAGAAAAACACCGGAAGGGCTCTCTCCAAAATCAGAATGTGCATTTCCTGTGCATGTGCTCCAGCCATTCTGAGTACAGCTGTCTTCTCCCTAGAGTCAGCAGTGATGTGGGATATTTGATCATAGATTTTGAAGTCACCCAGTCTCCTTAAAGGAGAACCCTGCTGCAGTCCACTAGAAACCCCTCAGTGTGACATCTGCAACCAGACTGGAATTATGACTGATTTGATCATGTTCCCTCTGTTCTTTCTGCACTCTGTCCACCAGCACTGCGGGAAAAGGAAGCAAGAATTTTTTTAATTACAGCAATCAATGAGAGCAGGTGGAAGAAAGTTCAGTGAATGGGTTATGAAATAAGTTCAGCAAGAGGAAACCAACATAATAAAACAAGAAAAAATAAAAGCTACCTTAACAGTGAAGTAATTAAAGAAGCACACAGAATGTGCCCGACATATAACGATGTGTTTAGAAGAGTTACTTTAATTAAGTTTCATCACAAACTTCAGAAGCGGGTGCAGTTGTCTGCAAGTACAGAAAGGCCACAATATTACAGACAAAGAAACTTGTGCAGAGAAATCTTTGTGCAGCAGTACAATTTTGTCATGTATTTCCAAGCATCCATAGAAGGAAAGTGCAGTATAAATTCGCACACATTACCGCACACATTACACGCCTACATAAAGCCTGTAGAATTCAATTTACACACGTTCTACAAACACATGCTCAATTTGAAATGACTGGAAGAAAAATAATGGGCTTAATCCCACAATAGTTCGCATCTTCACACCAATGTATGTATCATGCCTTGTCCTCTTTCACACTAGAAAACAGGTTAATCCCCAATCTCAGTAACAACACAGGGTTCAGGATGATCCTCCCAGCAAAACAGTCAAAACAGCAGGGACCCTGGCAGCTTCCTACTTCTGGGCTTGCGCCCAACTCGGGCGGTGGGTGGAGCCGAGGAACCGAAAGAGAAAGCGGGCTGTGCTTGGAGGACCTCGGGCGCCAGGATGAAGTCACGGTGGGCGACCCTCTTGTTGCTGTGCTGCTGCTGTCTGGGCCACGGGGTCGCCCGGACCTGGCCTCGGAGCCACCAGCGGGAGGCGGCCGCCTTGCGGGTACCAAGCTCCCTCCTCTACCTGTCCCCTGCTCCAGGGCTCCTAGGGAGGGACCCACGCTAAAGCTTTGATTCCCAAGGACAGAGATTTATGTGATGCGCCCCAAAGCACTAAAAAGAAAAAAAAAAGATGTGTCTAAAGCAAAGCTAATGGGAAACCGCACCCTCGGAATCCCAAAGCTGGCCATGTCTCCTTTTCCGCAGCAAACCTGTCGCTTAGAAACCTGCCTGCAGGGGGCGCTAGTTCCCTCCTCCAATAACTGGAAGTTCAAACTCCTGCAGCAGGCTCATTGATCCCCAGGCTGCTTGCTGTGCTGGGTTAATGATTTCCCTGTCCTGGGGACTCTGTACAGCCTTACTAAAAAAGTTCTTTGTGACTTGGTGGAGACTGATGTGGAACAAAAGGAAACATCCCCATGCCTTTAATTCGGGTTGTTCCAAAACAGTTCTCATAATAATCCTTCAATTTTACTCCAGCCTTAAAATTCAGAAACGGACCGATTAGCTGACCCTGGATCCATTTTTCCCAGTAACTAGGGAAACTGACTGGAATGCAGACTCATAGTTGGCCTCAGTTCCTATAGCTGATGCTAGCTGACACATTTTTTAAATCTGAAAAGATGCCATCACGATTTTTATTAGAAAAGAAAACTCCCTTGTCTAAATCAGGAGTCAATCTGAAGCTGCTCACTGGAGGTGCAGCTAGTGTTTCTCCAGTTAGCTTCCTGATGCTGTGTTCTGTAATTTCCGTGGAACTCCGCAGCTCTGGCCTCTTCTTCTTTGGCTTGGGAAGCTCCAGTAGTAGAAGTTCGTGTCTTCTTCCTCTCCAGCTACCCTTGTGTTTTGCTCAAACCAAAACGTGTGCTTTTATTCCTCCTATTTGTTGCTTTTGAGCTCATTTCTTGTTACCAAACCCAGAAGCACCGTCTATTTCTCACGGAAGACTTTGACCTGTGTGTTACTGAGTCCTGCCCTTGACGTCATCTCCAGACACTGGGGTGCAATAGTCAGTGTCATCGATGTTGACAATGTGTTCGTTGCCTAAATAGATTATTATTATTTTTAATCTTGAGTATTGGCAGCCAAACATGTAAGTATATAATTTCTTTTCTTGATGCTGAAACAAAAATGCCTGGAAGAGCAAATTAAAGAAAGAAGGGTCTACTTGGCTCACACTTCCAGGGGACAGTCCCTCAGGTTGGCTGTGCAGTGGTGTCTTGAGTGTGTAGCGACTTGACCACACTGCATCAACAGCCAGGAAGCCAAGAAGCATGGATGCTGTGGCCTGGTTCACATTCTCATTTGTATTCTATGCAGGACCCCAATACATGATGTAATGACTCCCAAGTTTAGGATAACCTTCCCTCCTCAGCTACCTTGATCTAGAAACATCCTCAGTAATATGCCCAGTGGTTTATTTCTGTGTTGATCCCAAATTCCAGTAAAGGAACCGTTGAGATTAGCAAGCACAGTCACTGATAAACATGATAAAATTGAATTTGTGTTTGAAATTGTAATTTTCCTGCCTACTCATACTTGACTCATAAGGCAGTTGTAAACATGGAACAGATGTCTGCAAACACTACTCTTTTAAAGAGAAATGCAACCAAGAATCTATATGGGAAAGGGGGAGGGCAGAGTTGAACAAAACATTCCACATCTTAGAATATTCTAAAAACTTTGAGATAAGAACACCAAGAAAAGGGTTCCAAGCAGTTCCTGCCAGGAGGAATTTGCTTGATAAGGTGGATGCCCAGTTTTCTGAGCATTTAGTCTTTATAGTTGCAAACTGTGGGCACTCCTGGATGATGCCAGCTGGAGAGTTGGGCACGGTGGGCTGTGTTTCTGTGGTGACCATGGGTACTAAGAAGGATTCTTCTGCCTTTATGGATTAAAATATATGGTAAGTAAAACATAGCATAAAAACCTAAAAAAGCTTTATTTTTACAAAATTGTTTCAATTATTGTATTAGTTGATTTGAGACTCTGGTTTCTTACAAGGCAAGCTGTGTATAGAATCTAGAAGTTTCCTTTGTTTTATAATAAAATAAAAAATTTTAAAGTATGCTATAAAGTAAAAATGAGTGATGAAGCTCTGTAAGTTCCATAGAACATTCTGTAAATGGAAGCTCTTGGCACGCCCACCAGACAAGACTCCTCTGTAGTTTGTTATGGGAGACCTCATAAGGTCCTTCAGAAGGAAGGGACAGCATCCTCCTACAGCATGGAGTTGGTTTTTACCTCTTGGCTGGGAACCTAGGTATGAGCATTATCTGGCCTGCACTTACCCTCTTTGCTTACGTTCATTTGAGTTTTCCTGTGGAAGGCACACCCGAGACTCAGCTTTTTAACACTGTGACAAAGGACCTGAGATGACCCACTTAAACAGAGGGATCTTTACTTTTGCTCAGTGTTTCATTCCATGCTTAGATGATTTTAGGTTTGAACCTGTAGCAGTCGAGAGCATGGAGCTTGTGCTGAGGAGACCTGTTCATCTCACTGCAGCTGGAAAACAACAGGGAAAACCCAGGTCTAATCCCCATCCAGTGTTAACCAAAGGCAGTCCGCATTCTTAGTTTATGAGGTGAGGGACTGTAGATGCCATGCTGGATCAAGCAAAAGCTCCCTTCAGAATGACAGTGACGGGCTGGAGAGATGGCTCAGCCGTTAAAGGCTAGGCTCACAACCAGAATGACAGTGACAAGCCAGTCAACATGTGACTGTATATAGAATTTGAGGAGCCTTTACCTCAACACTGTAATGGCTTATGCTGCATCTTAATTAAATTGTGTGTGCATCCCAACATATTTACATAGAGGTGGGTTATTATACCATTTTTAAATGAGTGATTATGATGAGTGAAGCACAGATACCTGGATTATCTCCCCCAAATACACCTCATACATGACTGCTTGAAAATTATCCTAAAGAAATGACTCTGAGGTTGTGTAATAGTGCTCCCCAGATATTGTCTGATGATATTTAACTTAAAGCACATGGTATCTAAATGGAAATATAACAAAAACTTTAAGAAAAATTTTGATCAGATTGTTTGTCCAATTGTCCAACATTTTGTGTCATTTATCATGTGTTAGGAACTGATGTAGGTTTCCTTAGTGAAAAATAATATATGGGGAGGACTCCAAGAAGTTATATTACAATGACCAATCTCACAATAATGTCAGCTGAGCATGGTAGTGCAGAACATTTAGAAAGTTTGAGATATACTCTGTCAGAAAACAAAAAGCTTGTTATGTATATGGGGACACTATAGTTCATTCCTAAAAAAAATATTATGAAGCCCTAATAATTACAAAATACATTCTCTCAGTTAATAGAACATATATAAACCATCCCCATTTTAATAAGGGATAACATAATTCTCAGCTGGGAATCCTGGATCTATGGTTTACAAATACCATGTCTCGAGAGAAATTCCCAGCAATGGTTCCATGTCGAGTGTAGTCTTTGTTCCTGCTTAAATTTGCTGGACTTGCTATAACCTAAGATGTTTCCACAGGTAACATTTTACATACATACATGGTACAGATTTGTTGCACACCTTGCTTTAGGATTTTCTAGTGAGGATTGATAGAAGCTTAACAAATAATGAGCTCAGAGTGCTGAAGGAAAAATGATGTTACAAAATGGGCAATGGCATGAGTTAATGTAGCCCTAGTTACTTGACAGGCTGAGGGAGGAGGGTCACGGGAGGCACCAAGTTCAAGGCCAGCCTTGGTGCATAATGAAAACCCGTCCCTGAATTTGAAATAAACAAATAAACAAAGATGAAGGGCATGTGCTGTGAGCATGAGCATCATCACAAAGGAATATCCTTGCTTATACTGGTGGGGACCAAAAGTAGATGTCCCCCAACCTGTGCCTTACAGGTTGATTGGCTGCTTCCGTGCATCATGCGCTGATTGTGTGACTTTTGGAGAATCATATACTTCTTTAAGCCTCAGTTGATTCCTCTGAGAAGACACATCGAAGTGAGCCAATGCTCCGTGCAGAACTAGGAGTTCAAAGAAAGAATTTAGGTTAGCCAGCCCTCCTACACCCTGAGCTGTGTGTTTAGTGGGCTTGGTAGCTGTGAACAATTTTCTTAGACAACAGAAAGCCCAACAAACTGGTCCTCAGGAATTGCTCCCTTTTCTAGATACTATTGAGCATATTAAAGGAGGAAAAAGGAAGGATATTTCATTTATTATTATTAACAACAAGCAAGAAAGTTTCCCTAACCATTCTTCTCTTGTGGTTCAACTGAGGACCTTCCTAACACCCCATGGGTTTCTAGTCTAGGGTATTTTTGAAAAGCACTGTGCCTATCAAGTATCATTAACAAAACAAGCTTCTGCCACTTTGTTTCCCATAGTTGGAAAGATTTGGCTAGTCAAGACACTTGAAATGGAATGAGAGGCTTTCTGATTTCTCAGGAAAAAAATGTTGGTTTCTGAAGAATTTTAAAACTTCAGCATAATCTCCATTTGACACCAGTTCAGGGCTCTTATCAGCAGAGTTGTCTGTTATCACTACCAGGGTCAGCTTCTGACGTTCAGTAAACATCACTTTCCTTTCTGACAAGGGCTTGGAAGCATTTCCAACAGTTTAGCTAGGCCGGCAGAACTTCACGTTAGAATATGGAAGGGATTGCATAGGAGTAACACACAATTACATTTTAGCTTTGACGTGTGATCCCCATAAGCTTATATACATGTTGAAACACACATATATAGACACATGAATGCTGGTGCATGCGTACCTATGACCATATACATGTCTACACATTTACCCACTCATGCATGCAGATGCAAGATTACCCGATTGAAAGGTGTAGAAGCTTGGATGTCAGAAGTCACTGAAAGGGTTAAAAGACAAGATTTTCCAGAGTAAGGATTTTAAGAAGCAGTGTTAATTACAGCAGTTTGAAGATGTGTAGTACCTGCCAATATCCAAAGGGCAAGTTTTCTCCTATTTTTATAATGGCTGGAAATTTCCCTCATATTCTTTAGCCTTAAATTATCTTCCACCAAGGAATCTGATGTCACACTGTACATCAATCAATGAAACACAGTTAAAAATAAAACAGAAAGTAGGTGTCAGTACTTATTTTGTCATTGCATCTGTTCAAAGACTTTTCTTACTTATGAGCTCTAATTTTTCTTTATAAGGTCTGTATGGTTTCCTCTTCACAGCTTCTCTGTTAAATGGGGTTGTGATTGACATCTAAGAGCAGGGGGCAGACCCACACTAGATCATGTGCTGTACGCTTGTAAGGCCTCAGATTCTATCCAATGCCAAGACCTCGTTAAAGGCTTAGATCAGCAGTTCTCAACCTACCAAATGCTTAGACCCCTTAATAAAATTTTTCATGCTGTGGTGACAACCAACTCTAAAATCATTTCATTGGCTACATCATAACTGTAATTTTGCCACAGTTATGAGTCATAATGGAAATATCTGTGAAAGGGTCTTCTGACTTGCAAAGGGCTTATGGCCCACAGTTTGAGAATCTCTGACTTTTCTTTTAGCATTGTGTGCTGTTTCAGAGGTGGTTACTGTATACCTGCACACCATCATCTCCTCTGGTGCTCTGTGGTAGAACGCGTGGACTGACCTTTGGTCTGCCGTCTGTTCTAAGACACAGATTTTGATGTGATACGACAAGACATACCTGGACTCAGAGTTGCTGAGTCTGTAGGAAATTTACTTCAACAGCCAAAATTGAGGGACACAATAAGAGTGTCTGGAAATAACAGATGATTCTAGAAGTGAAATAGAATTTTAAACAATGTGAGCTTTCTGGAAAGTAAACTAGGATTGAGTTCTAGTAAGGGAATAAGTCCTCTGAGATATGGGATCCTGTTGGCATTGTATTTTTTTAATTTAAATTAGAAACAAGCTTGCTTCACATGTCAATCCCAGTTCTCTCTCCCTCTCCTCCTCCCCTGCCCCCCAAACCCTCCAAACCCCCCACCCAATCCCTACTCCACTCCCCAGGGAGAGTGAGGGCCTCCATGGGGGATCTCCAAAGTCTGTCATATCATCCAGGGCAGGACCTAGACCCTCCTCTATGTGTCCAGGCTGAGAGAGCATCCCTACATGAGGAATGGGCTCCCAAAATTCATTTGTATGCCAGAGATAAATACTGATCTACTACCTGAGGCCCCGTAGAGTGCCAAGGCCTCCTCACTGACACCCAAATTCAGGGTGTCTGGGTAAGTCCCATGCTGGCCTCTCAGCCATAAGTCTTGGGTCAGTGAGCTACCCTCCTTGTTCAGGTCAGCTGCTTCAGTGAATTTCACCAGCCTGGTCTTGACCCCTTTGCTCATCACTCCTCCCTGTCTGCAACTGGGTTCCAGGAGCTCGGTTCAGTGTTAAACTGTGGGTGTCTGCCTCTGCTTCCATCAGTCACTGGATGAAGGCTCTAAGATGGCATATTTGAGTACAATATCAAATTGTTTGTCATAGCTAGTCTTCATTTGTAGTGTGCTGAGAAGTGCTTGGTACGTTTTAACCTCAGTAAGATGAAAGCATGATCTTTGAATAATGTTTTCTATAATCAAAATGTTCTGCTTTTATGGTGAAGATATAACTTGGGGATGTTTAACTAGACCTCATTCTGCTGGTCATTGAACTACACACAGTCCCAATAGTATCATATTTAATTAGTCTGTGTACTCTGGCAGTGAAATGAAATTTGTGAATGAAGACAGTGGGGAACAGAGAGGTTGAATATGTATCTTTAGACTGAATTTCAATGGTAAGATGTTTATTTCAGTTTATTTTAAAATCAAGTGTGTGTGTGTATGTTTATGTGCAAAGGGATGTAAGAGAATTATGAGTCTTCAGACACCGGTAGGGAGGAATTTTCAGTGTTACTAGCCTTTAAAGAAGGGGGGTGAAATTAGTTGTAGGGAGGGAGTGACACCGAACATTTTGTTCTTGGCAGGGCAGCAGCAATGACAAGTAGGCTGTCCCTGGCATGGCTGTGGAGAGCTATGAAAGGGCAGGAGTAACTGCAGGCCTGATAACAAGACTGATGTGTGGTGTTTTGCAAGTGGTGTCTGACTGAGCAAAGGGAAAGTTGACAGGACCCCTGAGGGAGCTGCTGCCGCTGTTGGTTCTGTGAGATCCATCTTAGGGGAGATCTGTCACTTGTCTCCTCTTCATTGACAGTTAGGTTTATGAGTATTTAAAACGGATCAGACTTACACTGTTTTCTTTCATTACTGTTACTATAACGACTTGTCAACTAGATAGACTTAGCTTTACAACCTTAACCATGCTATCATTCGAAGTAATACACAGCTTCTTAGGGAAAAAGCATGTCCTTTACTCCAGTATTCTGTTAAAATGATTCATTATGGTGATTTACTTTTCTGTGCTATTCAGTGTACCATTTTTTTATCTAGTCCACTTGATCATGATGTATTTTGTCTGTCTGAATCACTGTGGTGTTTCACTAAGGATTTTACATTTACGTTTAGGAGACTTACTCATGAGCAGTCAGTCCTGTTTTCCTGAGGTGTTCTTTTCTGGTTGAGAATCATGCTAACATGGTCTTGTTTAAGTTGAGACATACTCTTATTCTTTGCTTTTTATAAAATTATTATTATTGCTTTCTTAATTGTGTGGAATTCACTACTGAAGCCATGTGGAACTATAGTTTTCCTTCTGGGTCAATTTTCAATTACAATTTTAATGCCGAGAGTTGATAAAGAGGATTTAAGTTTTCTATTCCTTCCATGTTAAGTAATCTGTTTCTCCAGCTATTTTTCCATTTCATGCAAATTATAAAACTTATTATCAAAAAGTTGTCAAAATGATTAGAATGGCCTAAGCACTATAGTCATGATCTTTTCATTCCTGATATTTGTAATTTATGTCTCAGTGTCACCTTTTGCCCTCATCAAAGGTGCGTATCTGTGAGAGAATGGGGAGAGGGCCAGGATCAACTGTTAGACTGCAACGAAACACTAACTTTGAGTGACATAGGGAAACGGGAGGTTGTGAGATAAGTCCTGAACTTTTCTGCTCAGATCTAGGGATGTTCAGAGGTTTTTAGAAGTCACCAGGTGACTAATGTTTAAGAATTACTTCTCTATCAGGGGGTTCTTTGTGTCTTTCCTACAGAAACAACCTTAGTGCTTACTTATCAGCTGTTGGGCACCATGGTAACTGCAGTTTCCTGCTGTGGGTCCCTGACAGTTCAGCCACCAGCAGCTGAACTCCCACAGATGGAGGCCTGTCATGCTTGTTCCCATGGCTGCCACATGCTACAACCATCCCACATTCTCCTTTCCTGCCCTGTCTTCTCCTGTTTAAGAAAATGGTCAATCCATCTTATGACTGATTTCCTGTAAATTCATTCGCAGTTACCATCCCATGACTTATGTTGTCATTTATGTCATGCAAAAATACCTATAAATTTAGTTCTATTTTTGGATGTGTAAATGCAGATTATATTCTAAACCTTACTTCACCCAAAATAAGTACCTGAAGCTCAAAAGAAATTGTACAATTCTCTGGTTAGCAGTGCTTCTAGTCATGTTCAATAAAAAGGATGAAGAAATACTGGGATGTGTCTTGACTGTGCCCTTGCCAAAAACAAACTAATGAAACGTATTAAGAGGAAGTTTCACATGTGTCATTATTAAAGAGCAGATGGTTACTGAGGAGGTATTGTGTTCCAGGCATGTCTCCAAGTGCTGGTGATAAGTAAAAAGTCAGACTGATAAATGTGCACTGGTTTTGCTTGTTGGTTTATGAGTCATATACACAAATACTATATTGCATAAGTGAACATGGAGAACAATGGTCCTTCAAGTTTCCATGTAACCTCCAAGATTAGCCAGTGTTGAGGAATATAAGCATCTTCACAGAAAAGGCAAATGTACCATTGCTGAAATACAGAGTTATAATTATTTGATTTTCACTAAGATAGGAAAACTTGGTCTTCCGGGGTGACCCCAAGGACTGCATCCTTTCTCAAGCCTTTTGCTCCAGATGAAATAATCCTGGATCTAGCCTTAAGAGACTTGGACTTTTTCATTCATTTATCAACTTAGGCCTTTTCCAAGCTTCCTTACTCTGCACAGAGAAAAACAGATATGTGAAAGACATATTTCATATTCATAATTATTTAATTACAATGTGTCACCAGTGTCTAGTGCTTGTCAACACTTGAAAAAGACATGTGTGTAATACTCCCAGCATGTGAGGAGAAGGATTATAGATTCACAAGTCATACTTTGCCCAACCTGAAAATCAAGTTTGACTTTTGTACCCAAAATACCTCCAAGTTAGTTATACATTTATGTCTACTGAAAGAGTAGACATAAGAAATATGTTTTCATTCTTTCAGGAAAGTCTTAATAGACATCGCTACTTGAACTCTTTCTCTCATGATAACTCCACTGCCTTCTATGGACTAAATCAGTTTTCTTATCTATCTCCTGAAGAGTTCAAAGGTAAGGTCTGAGAGTACTATTTATTAATCTCCTGTTTCTAGCTTCTTTGTCTAGTAAAGAAATGATTCATTGAAAATCTTGTAAACTGTGTGATGGAAATGTCAGCTTTGAAGTTTGTACCATGTGCAAAGTATGAAGGAAGTGAATTTAGGACGACTGTCTGCTAACCATTGCTGAAGGACCAAATGCAACTAATGCACATCTATGCAGCACTTCCATGCAGCTGCAACCAGACGTTGTCTCCTCACACTGGTAGTTTTCTAGCACCAATTCTGCTCAGAATATTCATGGTTTTGTGAGTAGTAATAAAAGAAACGATGTTAATTATTCATATTTTTAATCCCTGGCCTAATTCTACCAAGCATGTCATGTTATATTACCTCCAGTCCTACTATAGAAATTTACATTTACAGTTTTCAGGAAAATGCATTTCATGTTACAGAAAGACACTGAGGAAAAATTCCAAGTGACTGGTTGGCTAGGTAGCTACTTTTTTTTTCTTGACAGTGTGCTAAAAAATGTAATAATTAAGGCTCCAGAGAAGCCCTTCATGTAATGAGTTCTCCATTGTTTCTTCTTCCTTTTCTTCAGCTCTGTATTTAGGGAGCAAACCTGCCTGGTCTCCCAGATACCCAGCAGCAGGACAGACACCCATCCCCAATGTGTCTTTGCCATTGAGATTTGACTGGAGGGACAAACATGTTGTAAATCAAGTGAGAAACCAGAAGATGGTAAGCCCTGCATCCATTCGCTCTTCATTGTCCCAGCATTAGAAGGCATCTCAAGGTCAAGTGTAATCAAACTTACCAAGGAACCCATGGGGTTTTCTAGGTAAAACTAGCACTTGTTATCTGACATGGAAGAGAAGGCTCTTGGAAGGATGAGCCATAGTTATGATGGTTATCCAGTCCTGGCTTTTACCCTGCTTGAGTGTGCTCACTCATCCCTGGCCATTGCACTCAGTACACTACCTGGGGAGTACATCCCAGTAACCATCCTAAGCAAACCAGGAATCCTGTGAACTAACAGGTGGAAAGTAAACACAATTACGGCCTGTGTTAAGTGATTCAAAAGTAAAACACGATAATAAAGTGAAATGAGATTGCCCACACAGTGTCTGGATTTTTAACCTTCACTTCATTTAATGAGCTCTATCAGAAATCCTGGTCTGCATGCTCACCCCCTATGAAGCCGAATACTATCCAACCTGTATCCTTTAAAGTCCAGACACTGTAGCTTCAAGGCTACATACACTTTATTACAGATCAGCACTGTCCCAAGTTTGACAGTAAGGAGAAAGTGGATACAGGAGAAATAGATTAGGTCACAGTGTGTAAAAGTTGTGTGAAGCATTTTACAAGCAAGTAGAAAACTCACAAATAAGGTGATACTATTTCTTTGCTTGTTGAAGAATTAGTAAATATTTAAGTACATCAATGGAATATAAAACAGTTCAGCATGAAAAAGACCCACAGTATTCTTCCCGAAGTTTGTGGATCATTGTGACATCATGGGTGGAGAGCTATCTCAAGGCAGAAGGAAAATGGTAGCACTATGTGGTGTGGGTGTGGCTTGTAATGTATACTTGCCCACCAGTTTGTATAAGATTAGAGTACCTTCTTCTTCTTCTTCTTCTTCTTCTTCTTCTTCTTCTTCTTCTTCTTCTTCTTCTTCTTCTTCTTCTTCTTCTTCTTCTTCTTCTTCTTCTTCTTCTCCTCCTCCTCCTCCTCCTCCTCCAATGTGTCCCATCATCACCACAAAGAAAGTCAAGTCTACAGCCACAAAATGTCATTTACAGGGTACCTGCATTAGAAACATTAGTAGGTTCTCCCCCCACGCTTAGCTCATGGACAGGAAGTAAAGTGGTTTGCATACTCAACTGTGCTAGTCCCATCTAATTAGAATGTTTTTTCCTAGTTCTCAAATTCGATGTTTCCGATTGTTTATTAAAATTTACTACCAAGCCACTTACTACCATGACATTCATGGTGATGGTAAGAAGCAGATGTTGCCTGGTGCGAGGTAAGGCCCTCAGGCACCATGTTTTGACACTGCTCTCGTCTGCCTTAACTTGACTAATGTATTGGCACTTCTCTTAAGAAATAAGATGTCAACTACATTTTCCATTCTCAAGTTCTCATGGTTGCAGAGTTCCTTCACCACAACTCCATGAAATCCCTGAGCAGAGCCATGAAAACGCCTTATTAAAAAAAAAAAAGAAGGGGCTGGAGAGATGGCTCAGAGGTCAAGAGCACTGACTGTTCTTCCAGGAGTCCTGAGTTCAATTCCCAGCAACCACATGATGGCTCACAACCACCTACAATTCAATTTCGTGCCCTATTCTGGCATTTAAGCAGAGCACTGTATATGTAATAAATAAGTAAATCTTTTTTTAAAAAAAGAAGAAGAAGTAGGTACTTTAAGACCACTTAAAACCACTGTGTTTCATAGAGCCTGAATTGCCCCATAAGGACACTCAAGACTTCAACATACTGGTTCTACAGTACATACTCTTATGATTAAGCCAAGTTTTAAATTCCCCTTTTCCCCCCTCTTTCTCTGTTTGCTGCCTTTCCTATGGATTGTGCAAACTTTTATGTGGCTCCTATTCCATTTCTTGGATCTCCTTTCCTTAGAAGCAGCTCATTTATACTTTTCTGAGAAACAGTGATTCATAAAGTGAAATTACTGACTAATTGTAAATCAACCAGTGCTTCTAAGTGTTTCCTTAGCCTCTCCTAATGCATTAGTTTGGCTAACTTACTTGGTAATAGTGACATTGCTGTTTTAGTTTTAATCAATAATTAGATGTCAATGCTCAAAAGAAAATTTTAATTTCATTTTGAAATTTTGAATGAATGCTTATTATATATGTAGACACTTTGTGTTAGTTTATACTACCCCTGTCTTCTTGGCAGTGTGGAGGATGCTGGGCGTTCAGTGTGGTGAGTGCAATAGAGTCGACTTGTGCGATCCAAGGGAAACCTCTGGACTACCTCAGCGTACAGCAGGTCATCGACTGCTCTTTTAATAATTATGGCTGCAGTGGTGGCTCTCCTCTCAGTGCCTTGAGCTGGCTAAACGAGGTAACCTTCTCAGCTTTCCGAATCTGATTTACTCATGTTCTGTGTACACAGAATCTAATCACTCTCCTATATTCATCAAGGTCCAATGATCAGAAATCAAAAGTAGACAACGTTTGATTAACTTAATCCGGGACAAAAGTGCACTGCAGGGAATCAAACCAGAGCCAGGTTTGATCAGACCAGAGCTCCACTGAGTTATGCCACAGACCCTGAAGGTACTAGAAGTAGTGTCTTCCAGACAAATTAGTCATCGATACATCAATGGGTAAAGATATCTTAAACACATTTTTAGAAAGATATTGTTAAGATTTCATCATTTTTCTTAGTAGGAAATTTTCATGTGGAAACTGATCACAAAACATCTCAGAAGGACTAGGGCATACAGTTACTGGTTCCCATAGATGTCCTGAGTGACAGTGTTAAGAGAAACACAACAGGTCAGCTGGATTTATAATCCTTTGTAGACAAAGAAATGAGCACTGAAAATTGGAATCTTGTCGCCAGAAAAAAACCTGGATGCTAAGCCCTTGACCTTCTACTTAAGGGCTTTACTACACCCTAGTTTCTACATTTTCTCCCCAAAACTCTTACATATCCAGCATCAGAGGAATGAAGTAAGAAAATGAGGTGTCCATTGTAAAAGTCACCGAGTAGTGTTGTCCAAACCCAAATGCCCTCTCATTATACATTCACTTTACAGGAAACTACTACACATGCCAGTGACTACTCTAGACACATTATAGATAACAATGATTGGGCTTCTGCTCTTTAAGTAAGCCCAGCTCATTCGCCTGTGCAGACAACCGTAAGACATGCATTACATCACAAGATGCTATACCAAGAACATTTGGCCACTGTCTGACCTTGGAGCTTTGATAGTTCAGTTTTAGGAGACTTGGAAGGAAAGTGTGTTGCCTAGCATGCCCACAGGAGGAGGAGGATGGAATTTATCTATGGTGGTTCTAGAATGGAAAGGAATAAGGGAAAAAATCAAAAGAAAAAGTTAAAGATTTGTGTGTTCTTGAATGCTTGGTACAAGTGCCTAGTGGTTTCAGTTAGAACTTTAAGAGCAAACTATGCCCATAGGCTGCTTGGGTGCAGCCTGACCTCTTTGACTGCACTGAAGTAAGCTCTACTTACCATTTAAAACAGTTGGGAGTGATTGCTTTGTGACTATTTCCTCTAGACACAAGTGAAGTTGGTAGAAGATTCAGAGTACCCGTTCAAAGCAGAAAATGGCCTGTGTCGCTACTTTCCCCAATCACAATCAGGAGTTTCAATCAAAGATTTTTCTGCATATGACTTCAGGTAAATGACTTGGTTTTTCTGTCTTTATTTTCTACACCATCTGTGCTGTTTTTGGAATTGATGACTTGATCGAAGGTACCCTTACCCTTACATACTCTTGGCTCAGCACTAACTTCCTACTAAAGAGTTCAACTGATGATCACAATGGGGATGTCACAGAAGTCTCCTAAAGAGAATCTGCACATTCCTTTCTGTATCATCACACTAAAAATAAGAAATTTAAATGAGTAACTTATAAGTCAGTTTAAAGCTATAACATATGTCTGCCACCACTCAGAAAATTCAGATGCTAAGACACCGGCGCTTGTTTCAATCTTAATATCTGAGTCTGTCCAAAGTCACATTGCACAGTTCACAGATTATGTAACAAGAAGCCTTTTGGATAGCTGTGTTCTGGCAGTTCTCAAGTAAGCAGCTATTGGAAAGCCCAGGCCTAACACATTAAAACTTGGAGCGAAGACTGTAGCACTGAAGATAAGTTCTGTAGCATGCATGCTTCATGAATGTCGTGGGGATGCAGGCCAAGTGAGTGCTGGCAAAAGGGAAGGAGTAGTGCTGGAAATTAAGAAATGGGGAACTTTGAATGAGTTCAAGTGTAAGCAATCATTAAAATCACGTAAAAATAGGTGGAGAATGGGAATGTGATAGACAGAAGAAGCAGCCTACTCCCGCTCCCACTGATCAATGCATTTGGGGTTTTTGTGCCATTATTGAAACATCACACAAAATAAAAGAGCTCAATTCTGATGCTTGATTTAGATGGCATCTACCCATGGGAAACAGGAAATCAGGGTAAAATTAGATCCTTGAGCAAAGCATAACCCTTTAAATCTAGGTATAAGTGCCCAGAGCACTAGAGATTGTCAGCCCAGCTCCTGTTTTGCAATAAGGGCCCTGGAAAAAAAACCCTAAAAAAAAAAAACTTTTCTTCCATAACTGGCTACACATGGTTCTGACTACAAGGACATTGGCCACTGTCTCCTTTGGGAGTGAGGGTAATAGTACACTTCCTGAAATAAGAAAACATGTCTTTTGTAAGTTGCCAGTTCCTGGAAAGTAAACCTGAAAAGGTATTCACAAAGGGACCAGACTGGTGCAAGTAATTAAATTGAATCAAGGGAATAACTATTTGCTAGGTAGGTACATGGGAAGTAAGTTGAAAGTATGGAGGAGACAGAGAATCATATCACTCTGCATGAATTGGAGAGAAAGTAGATTGGAGAAAGTGAGTACTCTAGTGCTAAGCAATGCTTACAGCCCAACAACTTCTGTATTTTTAAAGCATTTTCACAGTGAACTCAAACTGGCAGAATCAGGTCTAAGAAAGAGCATGAATGCATTCATTCATTCATTGATTCATTCATTCAGGTTACTACTGGCCAGTGTTTACTATTGGGATTGGGTAATAAGCAACATAGACAAACTCCTATCCTTGTGGACTGTCTTTCAATGATCAAGACAGGCGAATAGAACAAATAGGAACATGTGATATATTTGGTGTATGAATTTTTAAATTAAACAGTGGGAAGAGGGAGCTTCTAGGACTGTGGTTCTCAACCTGTGGGTCGTGACCCCTTTGGGGTCAAATGATACTTTCACAGGTGTCACATATCATATATTCTGAGTTGCAGATATTTACGATTCACAACTAATAATTTTTAAGCATTGGCAGATGGGACAGACTGAACTAGATATGAGACTACAATTTTAATTAAAATTGTGCTGGGTTGAATTTTAACAACAATAAATATTCATATATTATGAGAGCTTGAAAGATGACATTCAGCGGTTGGAGAAGAGCATGCCAATGAATGTGTCTGAAAATACTAACAGGAAAAAATATGATTGGTGCTCGCCACAACCTGAGGAGCTGTATTACAGGGTCGTAGCATTATGAAGGTTGGGAACCACTTCTTTAGGGGAGTATATAGTCCTAAAAAGGGCTGACGAAAGGAGCTTCATTGAGGAGTGACTTTTAAGATAATGTGCTCATGAAAACAGCATCATGAATGTTGCTCCAAACAGAGGAAGTCCTGAGACAGAGGGCCAGAGGTCAGTGCAGCATGCTTGCAGAGCAAGGAGGAGACCATGTGGTCCAGTGAGGAAAAGATCAAGGCCAGCATATGAAGACTCTCTCGGGGACTAGAGGAGTAGGGAGGTGAGAGTCAGGGCCCATTCTTCTCATGGGGGCCTGATATTACACACTTCTTCATGGAAGAGTCTAGGCTTTTAGGACTGAACAACTTGACTTAACAGAAGGAGGCAAGAAGGTCTAAGGCAAGAAGAGAGCTATAAGGAAACATCAGAGAAGTTGAGAGATGTAGGCAATGGCTACAAAAATCCCTGGCAGCTGGATTGGAAGGAGACAGCAGAGCAAAGCAATTTGGCTTCAGCCAGAATCTTGTCTGTGACTTGAGGCCAATGGCTGAGAAACTCTCGGTCAGAGGTGAGATAACACACTTCTGATCCCCATCAAAACTGATCTCCATAGCCTTATAAGAACCTTTGGTTGAGGGTGCCACTGAGGTACCATGATTCCTGGGTTTAATATAGATAGGTTCTGGATGCCTAACAAAGCACTGGAGTCTCATTCTGGAGAGTAGAGGTGTACCCTAAAGTGCTGAGGGCTGGAGATGGCGGGTCTTCCTTGGCATCTGCCTCGACTATCAGTGGGCCAGTCTCTAGTGTGTCTGTACCACTCCTTTCATCAGATGTGTATCTGAGACTCCAGGTCTGGGGGCTGTGGACTGGAAGGCCGATGAAGATGATGACTACCTCACTCTGAGTCCATTCATCTCCCTCTCTAGTTCTGAGATCACAAGCTCTAGCATTCTCAGAACATGTCACTCAGGGCCCAGTGATCTACCCAAACCTCCACAAAACTTGGTACGGAAACCGAAAAGAATTTCAAGACAAAAGGAACGTATTATGCACTACAACCTAGGCTGAGCTGAACTAGGTCTTGGGTAACTTAGAAGGCAAAGGAAGATTATAAGGCTTGAGTCAATGGTATGAGATTTATTATAGATTTAATATATATGATATATTACATAATTTGTGCTAGACACACTACAGAACATAAAGCCTATTCAGTTCCGTAACGTTATGGTTTTATAGAATATGGTAGATGGTACAATACAATATACATCATCTGGGTTTGAAGCCAGGATTGGAGAAATCCAAGACCTGTCTTTTGTCTCTGGCTATGATACCTGCTTAAAAATTTTATGTCTGACCCTAGGATCTAATAATTGCTGTACATCAATCATTAGAGCAGAAACTGAAAGTGTACAAATCAAATTTCAGGTTAATATTTTGAATGACTCCTTGTGTAAAATGAAGGCAGTTTCTGTTGTAGTCAATTCCACTGTTAGGCTTTCAGAGCGCCTTCCATCTGTGGACTAAGTGATCTCTTGCTGGAAATTGGCAGTAGCAGGTGCAGTAAGGAAGCATTTACTCTGAAAGGTGCTAATACTTAATAGTTTGCTGTAGCAATAAACTGCACATGCTATCTTTATGGCCTGAACCATCAAGTTCCATGATTTCAGGAACCTTCACCCGCAAGCTGGCCTTTTAAAAATGTAAATAGTGTTTTGTCACACACATTTAGGATAGATGGATGCTAAATGTTGCTATAAACAAAAGTAAATGTAACAACAGTTTGCTTTGCAGTCTTGCTAAGAAGCACCTAGTTATCCTGACATCTTGCTATTTCTTCTGATTTTCTTTTTGACATATCTTCCAGTGTTTTTCTGAGTGAACTTTGTTTTTATTTCCTGTATTCAACTTACTCTGATAAAAACAGATATGGTTGTCTGCCAGATATTCATCTCTTGGAGGTGATATGTATTTACAAGTACCAAAACATTACATAATAATTATTAAAATAAACCCCACAATCTATTAAGACGCTTACCAGATACAAAACTCTTTCTATATCTTCTTATAAGCCAGAGTCAGTCCTATGACAGAGTTCTGGCCAATGAGATCTGTCCACACAGGAGTATCACTTCCTGGAAATCTCAACAGAGACATAGAGCTTCTCCTTCCTGTTTTATACTTCTTTTGTTAAATGGCTGGAGGGCCAGAAAACTTGGACTATGAGAGGACCGTAGAAGTGCTTAGCAGGAGATATGGAAAGAGACTGGGATCCTAACAGCCTTAAGTCCCATAGAGCCCTGCCTGGGCTGTCAACTCTCTTTTAATATCTGTGCTTACATTGATTTAAAAGATCGGTTTTGTTTTGTTTTTGTTTTTGTTTTGCTTTTACCTTAAAAGTTAAATATTTACCTATGCCTGTCTTCCTTGCATAGTGGCCAAGAAGATGAAATGGCAAAAGCACTTCTGAGCTTCGGCCCTTTGGTAGTGATAGTTGATGCAGTGAGCTGGCAGGATTACCTAGGTGGTGTAATTCAGCACCACTGCTCGAGCGGAGAGGCGAACCATGCGGTTCTCATCACAGGGTTTGATAAAACCGGTAAGTCCGACTGCATCGAATCCCTCCCTGGATTGGAGCTCTGAACGAGGGCTCAGCTGCCCTGCTGTGTCTCAGAGCCATTTACCCATGGCTCTCTGGGCATAGGGCATATCCGTCAGGTTTTGATCATCTCCCTCTCTCTGCCCCCCATGTGGGAGGGTCTTGTGTTTTACTGGGCATTCAATCTTGTGACTTGCACATGCAAGGCCAATACTTTGGCACTGAACCACACCCCAATCTGTGAATGGTAATTTTACATTCATATGAAGTGAATACTTCATCAGCAGTATTCAGCGTAACTGTTGGCTATAGAGACATACCTGATAGTTTATCATATGTGTGTGTGTGTGTGTGTGTGTGTGTGTGTGTTGTGTGTTTATAATACTTCGTCTTCTAATTCCCTGGGAATGAGTTTGTCTTGTCATATCTAAGTATTAAACAAATTGAACTGAGACAGATTCTACTATGTAGAAGGAGCCAATAAGCACAATTCAAAGTTGCTAAGCTATCTAGATAAAATAAGTTTTAGAAAGTAAATATAAATTCTTGTTTTACATTTATATTTTTCTTGCAGCAAATACATTTATAGTATACCTCAATTTTAAATACAGAAATGTACATGTTCCTAATTGATATAAATTAATTAGGGTACTTAGCATCTTACCTTTGCAGGAAATACTCCATATTGGATTGTGCATAACTCCTGGGGAAACTCCTGGGGAATAGAAGGCTATGCACATGTGAAAATGGGAGATAATGTTTGTGGTAAGTCATGAACTTGTGTTGAATATTCTAGGCTAAATATGAAGGGCTTTTTGTATTTATCATCGAGGCAAACCTAAAATCTTCCAATGAGTTCATGGCCCTCTGCTGCTGACTCTCACAGTCTCTTAAAGTGGCTAGTATGTGCTCAAAATTAACTGTGTTCGAAGATCTGACCATGAATGTAGGGCCCGGGGAGCCCAATGGACACAATATAAAAGGTGGTTGATAACTGCCTGCTTTTCACATGGGCCTTTCCCAGCCTCCAAGGTACTTCCTGCCTCCTACATAATTTCACTGTCTGAGTCTGAAGAGGCCTTCCTGGTCACTGGGTGTCCCTGAGGTCCAAACTCTTCCTGAGCATGCTCCCTGAACATTGTATACCCAGTTCTGTCCACATTATTCCAATAAATAGTGGCAAAAGGCAGAAACTATTACATGACCCAAGGACATTTCCTGATTATTGGTCATTAAAATGAAATCCAGTTTTCAAATGGGCAGTAATAAAGCCTAACACACTTAGGGTTCATTAAAATTTAGTCAACTTCAAATCTGAGAGTTTTAAGTTTTTGAATATTTTAAAATAAATCCTATATGCTATTTTCCCCCTTAGGAAATACATGTCAGGGCAGTACAGATCTTATACATATTCATTTATTCAGCTAGCAAGTAATTTGGGTGTTGATTTTTTGAAACACAAGTCTTAAGTATCTCTTCTAGTGTTTGTCTTTAAACTTACCTTGCTTTTACTGACAGCTGAGCATAATCATTAAATTATTTTGTTAACGGATACTAACTCATCCTAAACCTAAATGAAAGTTAAGTTTTGCAAAGCAAACCATATAAAGAAAATTGATTACTACTAATACTTTTTTCTTTTATACTTTTTGCATTAGGCATTGCAGACTCTGTCTCTGCTGTCTTTGTGTGATCATGGGATGACGTCATCATGAGACAACTATAAAAACAAGCTCTTCATAGTAAGATCTAACATTACACTTAATTCTGAGCGTTATTCCCTGTCAAGTTTCAACAACTGCCTACAAGAGGTGCTAAGAGCAAGCTAGCATTTTGTAAACAATGGTAGGTCATCCCATTCTTGCAGATAGATGAACAACCAAAGTTCATAGGAATTACACGCACCACCTCCATCACATGGAACAGTGTGGAATTCTGAGTGCTTGGTGGGATTGGAAGTCATACCAGGCCCTCCATCTGGAAGCAGCTGGGACTTTTGCTGTCTTTGTGTCTTTCTGGCTGTTTATTGTAATGGAGTACCTTGCTCAGTCTGGATCGAAGAAGGGATCAGAATTTGTTTTTCTTTGTGATTTATAGTCACCAGCCATAGATGACCTCATCTGCTAGAACTCTCAACCCAAGGTGGTGTGTATCTTACAATTACAGCAACCTTCTGAGAGGATGTGCCATGCATATGGATTTGAAATATCAATTGCCTTACTTCAGCAAATGGACCTTACCCTATACATTAGAACAACTATGAACAAAGAAGAAATCTGAAAAATAAAAGTCCCTTCTTCAGAGAGACAACCCAACTGAATTTAATCTATGTGATAGGAAGTAACCTGTGCTACTTCCTGTGAGGAAGAATTTTTAGAGAGCATCACTGTCAAGGATCCAGTACATTTAGTTTCTTGCCTTCTTCTCTCTGCAGTAGGGAACAAAGTATTTTCCATATTTTCTACCTCTCTTGTTCTTTACTGTAGAATTTCCATGTGGTTCACTTTCCAGTCCAAAAGAACTCAGACCCATTATTGGGATTCCGTTTCAATCCCCCAACCTCTTACTTAAAAAATTCTCTGACTTCTGGTAGTCCCACTCACTTTGGTCTTTGTTCATATCCTTCACTGGAATACCAGAATCAAGAACAAAACTCCTTATTCTTCTTCCTGTTCCAGGGAGAGGCAATCTCAAAAGAAATTGCAGAGACTGGAGTATGAAAAAACAGCAGAAGACAGTTCTTAATATTTGAATAGAGTAGTCTAATTATTCAAGGCGTCCAGAAAGGAATTAAGTCCAGCTGTAGTTTCTGTTACTGACTCTCAATATGTTATCAGTGCTTTTTTGATACATGGTTTCAAATGCAAAAAAAGTTTTAAATTTTCAAGATTGTTACCCCCGCAAGTATTCTGGATTTTGATAACATTTATAATTAAAAAAACAATATATGACTTTGAATTACAAAGAATAAATGTGTGGTTTATAATTTATCATTATTTGTGAGTACTAACAGATAGTAATTAGTAGTGATATGCTTTACACTCACATTTTCTTGGATCCAAATCCATAGGTCCAGCGTGGTTTTCTCCTTAGACACTTTCAACCCCACCATGTCCGAGATTCCCCTCATCATCCTCCCAAAGCTGCCTTCACAGCCCAGTGGTCCTTTCCTCCTTATCATTTCATCCTGCCGGCAGCATTGCTACTGTGTAACCAATCAGTAAAGTCTAAGGAATTCTAGATACTCAATCAAGGAAACTCTGCCTTAGAACCCATTCCTTCCTCTGTCTACATCCTCCCCACCTCACAAACCCTTTCTGGGAGGTGCATGTTTTTATTGTCTCTCATCTCCACTATTTAGTTGTCTCTGGCCAACCTCAAATAACAAACTAAGACAGATTCTACGAAAATAGTGAGTTTATTGTTCTACAATGTATGCTGCTGGGAATGTACTTGCATATGCCGAAGAACTGAGGGAAGATGGGATTTTACAGGGAAGAAGAAGAAAGATTATTAAGCTGTTCTCTTCTGAAATAACTGCCTTCAACTACAGAGATCCACATCAAACTTGACTAAGTAGTCACCAGGCAGATGTCTTCACAAAACATTTATAGTTTTGTTTTAGTATGAAGTAATGATAACCTTTGGTGCAATATAGTTCAAATACTCCTTTATAACAGTTCTTATAGATCACACACACATATATAATATATATATATGTATATGTATACATATTTTCCCTTCTTATGACTTTACAGATTTTATTTTCTCATTAGAGCCTGATATAAGTAACACCCTTTGGTTCTGACAATATTTGTTAGTCATTAAACCCAGTCACCTTTAACCCAGTGGCTCCCACACTCTGATCTCCAGATCAGAATCCAGATGACTATTAAAAACATGCCATTATTATGCATCTACTATATTACCCAAGATTTATACCTCCAAAATGTTGTTATCATTTTACTCTCTGCAGTTTTAAACCATTAGGAATCCCCTGATGCCTGTAAGATAGCATGCAAAGTTTTACCAATGAGCTTCATGGAGAGGCATCTCCCTACCTTTACATCCTCTACAGATGAGTGATGACTTGTCTACTTTGGCTCATGGGTATTCCAGCCCTAGAAAGTCAGAAGCAGAGCAGGTGAATTCATTACTTAATACTTAGGAGTCATACTGAAAATCATCCACACATCCTGGCAGTGATTTCACAAGTTCCCCACTCCAAGTGTTAAATCAATAAACTTTACAGTGACCTTAAATGCCACTTATAGTTGCCATGAATGTGGCTCCCCAGCCCCCAGAGCAAAGGGTAATGGAGCCCAGTGGAGGACCCAGCAGTACAAAGTACTGTGAAGTTTACATTAAGAATTATTGAGTCTTTTTGACAGCATCTTCAACAAATGGTGCTGGCATAACTAGATGCTGGCATATAGAAGACTACAGATAGACCCATGTCTCTATTGCCGTGCACAAAACTTAAGTCCAAGTGGATCAAAGACCTCAACATCAATCCAGCCACACTGAACCTCTTATAAGAGAAAGTGGGAGGTGCCCTTGAACGAATTGGTACAGGAGACTGCTTCCTGAACATAACACCAGTAGCACAGACACTGAGATCAACAATTAATAAATGGGATCTCCTGAAACTGAGAAGCTTCTGTAAGGCAAAGGACACAGTCAGCAAGACAAAAAGGCAGCCCACAGAAAGGGAAAAGATATTCACCAACCTCACATCTGACAGAGAGCTCATCTCCAAAATTTACAATGAACTCAAGAAGCAAGTCTCCAAAACACCAAAGGATCCAATTGAAAAGTGGGGTACAGAACTAAATAGGGAATTCTCAATAGAGGAGTTTAAAATGGCTGAGAGACACTTGAGAAAGTGCTCAACATCCCTAACCATCTTGGAAATGCAAATCAAAACAACTCTGAGATACCATCTTACTCCTGTCAGAATGGCTAAAATGAAAAACACCAAGGACAATTTATGCTGGAGAGAGGGGAACACTCCTCCACTGCTGGTGGGAGTGGCAACTTGTACAGCCACTTTGGAAATCAGAATGGAGATTCCTCAGGAAAATGGGAATCAGTCTATCACAAGAACCAGCAATTCCACTCTTAGGCATATACCCAACAGATGCACATTCATACAACAAGGATGTCTGTTCCACTATGTTCTTAGCAGCATTTGTAATAGCCAGAACCTGTAAGCAACCTAGATGCTCATCATGGAGTACTACTCAGTGGAAAAAAGCAATGGAATCTTGAAATTTGCTGGCAAATGGATGGCACTAGAAGCAACCATCATGAATGAGGTAACCCGGTCACAAAAAGATAAAGATGGTATGTACTCACTCATATATGGATTTTAGGCCTGAAACAGGGGAGTGCCAGCCTACAATCCCCAGCCAGAAGGTCTGGGAAACAGGGAGGACCCTAAGAGAGATATGCACAGTAACCCAGAGAAGGGGAACAGGACAGAATCTTCTGGGGATTTTTGGGAGCACAGAGGAAGGGGAAAGGAAGCTGGGAGAAAGAGATGGGGTGAAGAGGATGCGATATGAGGGCATGGGGGAGCAGGAAAGTTGAGTAAGGGGGGGGAGAATAGAGGAGAGAAGAATGAGAGATACCATAATAGAAGGAGCCATTATCTGTTTGAAGATAGATCTGATACTAGTGAGATGTCCAGAGGCCTACAAGGATGACACCAACTGGCAATCTAACCAATAGTGGAGAGGCTACCTTAATTCCCTTCCCTAAAATGTGATTGAGGACTTCCTTGTGTGCCATCCTAGAGCCTTCATCCAGTGGCTGAAGGAAGCAGAGGCAGACACCCACAGCTAAACACTGCACTGAACCTCTGGAACCCAGTTGAAGAGAGGGAGGAGTGATGAGCAAAGGGGTTATAACTTGGCAAGTGAAACCCATAGATTCAGCTGACCTGAACAAGAGGGAGCTCATAGACCCTAAACTGATAGCTGAGAGGCCAGCATGGCACTGACCAGACCTCCTGAACATGGGTGTCAGTGAGGGGCCTCATCATCCTTTGGGGCCTCAGGCAATAAATCAGCATTTAGCCCTGTCATCCAGATGGACTTTGGAAGCTGATTCCATGTAGAGGGATGCTATGTCTGCCTGGACATATGGGGGAGAGCCTAGGCCCTGACCCAGATCATATGACAGACTTTTGAGATTCCCCAACAAGGGCCTCACCTTCCTTGGAGAGTGGACAGGGGAAAGGGGTAGGGGAGGGCTGAAGGGGGATGGGAAAGGAGGGGAAGGAAAGGGAGCTAGGATTGGCGTGTGAAGCAAACATCTTTCAAATTTAAATTAAATTTTAAAAGGAAATTAATTTTGTAATGTATTGTATAACAATGCTAGCTAGTAATTGTTTATGGACATCAGATATATACTTGACATGTACATATGATATGTACATTGTCATATATATATATGATATGTAAAGTGAACATAATCTTACCTTTCAATTTTACACAAAATATATGAAACATCAAAAAATGAATTATCGAGTCTTTTGAAAAAAATTTCTTCCAATGGTATACCGAGTAGTCGCCAAGAAATATAGATGTAAAGAACATAATCATTGAGTCTATTAGAGAGACATAAACTTTGACAGGCAGACTTTATTCCAGTATTCTAAGGCATCTGAGTCACAGAACAGCTGTTTACATGCTTTTTGGTGAGAAGAAACAAAGCTTACAAAATACGTATTGCCCATTTAGACAGACACCATTGCTTCTGCGGGAGTATTTCATAGTGCATAGCTAGCAAAGGACAAATTCAGCTCTTTAGCTTACTGATCTCTGAGATTTGTCTGTAGTCCCCATGGTATTTGCCTCTGAATTTTTATCTGTTTAACTACCGTTGTGTATAATATAAGCACATGCATGAGTGTACACACATGCACACATTACATACACACAAGCTATGTAGCTGAAAGCCACAATCATATTCCTTTTAACCTCCATGAAACACTAATTCCAGGAACCCCACAGGTACCAAAGTCCATGGATGCTCAAGTCTTATATGCAAAATGTCATTTGTTTGGATGCAATTTCAGCATGACTTCCTCCATACTCTTAAGTTATTTCTAGGTTAGCTGTAATACAAATCCAAAATGTGTGTTTTTATTATGTAGAGGATACTGACAGAAAGTCTGCACAAGAACTGTGTTTCTTCTTTCACACTTTAAAAATTGCAAAGTAGATAGATCCATAATGCAGAACCTTGGACACAGATGATCCTACATTACACGCATATTACAGAGTAGTTAGACATGATCCTTATAGTGTCTAATTGAGACCAACTTACAGTGTGCTTTCAAGAACTTCCCGGTTCTTGGAAATAACTTGTTAAATCTAATCTTTAATCTTTAGAAAACTCAACACAATGTTTTGTAGTCTCTCCCATATCAGCAACTTAATGAAATGTTGTCAATAGCCAAGCCAGGCTAAAAGAAAGAAGACTAACATTCAAGTATAATATAAACCCTGAGCATCATGTTTTTGTTAGGAATGCATGCTTGCTGTTCAGTCAGTTGGCCTATTTAGTGCTTTGGAAAGATCTTTCCTCCATAGAGAACCGCTACTTAATTCTATAGCAGTTGTACATGTTAGTGCTGACCATGTCCCACTGCAGGCATTGGGGCAGGCAAAGATCACCTGTGTCATCCTCAGGGCCCAGAGTGTAAGGAAGAAAGTAGTCTATGACAGCTAATACTGACACAGAATACAGAAGAGCATCTTCAAAACATTTCAGGACAGCACATTTCAGGAGCTGAACTGGGTTCCCATGCTGTATTTTTAAGTGCCTTTGAGTTCTGGGAGATGGTGAAATAATAATCCTATAGTATCCCTCAGGTCAAGCTTCAGAAACGCTTCTGTTGCTGCTCAAATTTCCCAACAAAGCCATGTTTTACAAGCAATGCACAGCCAAAACCTAAATATATTATTGAAAGTTTTATTTGAATAAATTTTGTATGGAATGACAGTATTCATTGCAAATATAATATGAAGTAAGTGCTCATATTTATAAGGCATGACACAGTGAGGTAATACTTATATAAAGTGGCCCCACTGAGGGAGGTAACAGGGTAAATTGAGCTTCAACAGGAATACATTGCATGTTTGATGATGCTAACATTTGACTGAATTATTTCTCATCATAGAACTTAATTTTACATCATAGCAATACATGAGATTATAAAATTGTTTCCAAGATTGCACCAGAACACCATGTCACTGAGCTACATATATAAATACATTACTCCAAACATGTATTCATAAAAACTTATAAAAGACGAAGGAAGAACGCTGTAGTTTTCCCAGGTGTCCAGAAGAATTTAATCTGATTCATCACTGCTGAAGTAGGAGCTGTCACAGTACTCAGCTGTGTAAAGGAATTTGTGAATGATTGGATTCATCTTTGGTATCCAGTGTCGGGGAACCAGGTATGTTGAGAGGTTAAATAAATCCACAAACACCTTGTACCTGTCACTGGAAACATGCATGCAATCTACATATTAGATTGTTGGTAAGAAAAATTCAAAATATTCTAAAATATTCCCTAAAATATTTCCCATAAACAATTAAAATTCAACCTTACATCTTATATGCTGTATAGCATTTATAGGGTGGTTTGTAGGCAGTACTGGTACTAACATTATGTAACTTTCAATCACATCCCTGATCAATGTTTATAAATAGCAAGTGTTTGATTCAGACCAGAGTGATCCAAATTAAACCTAGAGTCGTTGTTGTGATACTGTTGTCATGTAGTTAGGGTTGTGTCCTTATTTCTTATATGTTGAAAGTTCTGTTTGTATTAATTTTTAACTAATGTTTATGTGCATGTCTGCATGTGCGTAAGTGCGTGCGAGTGAAGGTACTCATGAAGCCAGAGCTGTCAGCCTCTTGGACTCAAAGTTACATGCAGTTGTAAGCTAACATACTTGATCGTTGGGAATTAAATTCTAGAGGTGCTGTAAATATTCTTGACTACTGAGACATCGTTCTAGGCCCCTTATTTTTTATTATAAAAGGTAGTGTATAAAGTAACATATTTAAAAAATGGAGTTCTTAGTTGCTCATTGGAAAGTATTTCCTAACTGCACAGTAGCTGTCATATGACCTTTATGCAGGATTAATAAACTTAAATATCATCTTGGCTTTGTTACAGTCATTTAAAGAGTGACTTTTATATGAAAATTGATTTTCTGTTTGCTAGCCAGCTATTTTAAATGATAGTTCTAAAATAGCAAAATCTGGTAAAGTTTTATGGAGGAAGAAAATTTGCCTTTGAAGTCAACTAAATCTGGTTTGGAATTCTGCTTCAGTCGCTAGTAACATATGGGACCATGGAGATGAAACTGAAGAGTCTAACTCCATGAATAAAATCTATGATACTTCCTCTGGCCAGGACTTTGTGAGGATTGAATGAGATGAAGCACTAGAAACATTGTTCAGGTTAGTCTTGTCCATGTAAATATGCAAATATAACTATCTGTGTTTTCCCATGGTCTTAGATGACCCCTGTGAAAGGGTCCTTGGACCGCCAACGGGTTGTGATCCACATATTGACAACAACTGCTCTATACTATTGCCAATTTGGCAGTCATTGATCCCAGAACACCTTTTTGTCACAGGATGAAACAATGATGTTCTTTAGCTGAGAATTTTATACAATCACCTCGAGTTTCCATAGGAATATTGGTATTTAACTAAGTGTGCTGTTATCAGCTCAGACGAGAGAGGGAAGTATAACTCTTCCAGAGCAGACCTGCAGAGACCAAGACTTGCTAACTTCCACCATGGCGAGAAGTCCCCACTTACCTCACAGTTGAGCGTAGGTACTGATAGCCTGAGGATCCCCCAGTGCCAGCCTTGGTACCCAGCATCCTGTGCACCATGCACACATGATTATCTAGGCAAACATACAAATTTACTGCATGAATATTTTCCTGCCATTAGCTCCTCAGTGTTTTAAAACCAAAGGGCTGGTAATGATTATTGCTTCAGCAAAAGCTGACACCTTATCTCTAAGCCAGATGGAAAGGTCCAATGTGAGCACCAGGGGAGACCATCAGGTTGCCTGGCAACCGTGTGCCTTACGCCACATGCATTTTACTTTGTTCTTTGCTTTGCTGCTTTTAGCCTGTGAGCACAGTAGCAGGGAGGCAGGGCCACATAGTAGCTTTTATGAGTCCTTTACCTTTGTTTTTCTGTGGGATTCTTCCTCCAGGTTAAAAAAATAAATAAAATAAAAGTTTGAAATTATTCGCCAGAGGTCATCATGTAAAGTTACAGGGAGGGATGGAGAACCTGGGGCATGAGGGAGTCCTAAGGGGTAATTAAGAAAAAGAAAATACTCTATGTCTTCTCTCATGCTGGCCTGGTCTTAATTACACGTACATGTGGCCATGGGCAGGGAAGAAGGCACCAGCTAGGAAGGAGCTTCAAAGGGGAGGTTGGTGGCAGGGCCAATATAAGATGCAATGATATGTGAGCATGTACATATCACGAAACCCATAAATTCAAAACCCAACCAAAAAATTAACTAAAAACTCATGAAATAAAATACAGCGGATCACTTTGGTTTTGTTTGTTTGTTTTTTTTTTTTTGAGGCATTGGCAATGGGGATAAAGACAATGTATATTAACACTGACACAAATTTCACTTTTCCTTTAGATTCTAAAAGGAAATAAAACATTTTCTGCATCTCTGAAATGTGGTAAAGGCATGCGGGGAGGGTCAGGGTCCTGGCAGAGGGGCTCTTACATCTCCATTTGGTCATGAGTGTGTCGATGTCCATAAGCGAGGTCAGCAACTGGAAAGGGACCTGGAATCGAGGCTCCTCCCTACAAAAGAACAACAGTGAGGAGTCCTCCTGCCTGGGAAAACCCCATGCACCAAGACAAGCCAGAGTGTCTGTGTGTTGGCCCTAGTCAACTTAATACTGAGGAGCTGCACTACCTTCTGATTATTCTCTCATTTTTTGTTTCCTTACCTCAAAAAAGGGGGGGGGGAAACACTACTCATTGCCCAGCATTTGTGTGAAGTCTAGAAAGGTCCATGTAATATTTATGAGGTAACCAGCCAGACAGTTCTGCCTAATACTATCTTACTGGAAGGGAGATATATACCGTATCTTAAACAGAATGCTAACAACAATCAAATATTTCTAAGCAGATAGTAAAACATGAAATCAGATCATTTCTTTGTCCCCTATTGTGCTTGGATTTCTTTTATCTAAGTCATCAATATTCTTGATACATATCTCACTTAGGACATCCATTTACTTCAAGATGAGAAAACAAAGCTAAAAAATCATGTTTCTTCTGATTCTGAAGAAACAGATCTGAGAGAATTTGCAAAATTAAAACTTTCAACTAAAATAAATTCTATAAAGAGTCCCTTGAAGGTTGTTTGGCAATATAACCCTCACTGGGTGAACATATGTTCATGGGCCCTAAGGAGAAGGTTAACACAACACCCAGAGGCCCCTGAAAACATTTTAGAGAGTAAAGAATTTTTATATGCTACCATTGACCAAGTAGACAACTGGTTATGAGGCATTCTCAACTGCCCACTTTTCTTTTTAGTTTAGTTTTTAATTGCATTTTCTTTATGCAGGGGTGGGCAAAGTTATGTGCACGCCATGGCTGGAGCGTCTTCTGGAGCCAGGAGATAACTGGAGGGAGCCGTTCTCTACTTCTATCATGAAAGTCTAGGAATCAAGCTCAGGTTATCCAGCTTAGTAGCAAGTGCCTTTACCCAGTCACCTATCTCCCTGTCCTCAGATTTTCATTTGATAAAACAGACAAATCTTTGAAACTATCTTTTTTTTTTTTTTTGGTTTTATGAGACAGGGCTTCTCTGTATTGTTTTGGAGGCTGTCGGTCCAGCCTGGCCTCAAACTCACAGAGATCCGCCTGCCTCTGCCTCCCGAGTGCTGGGCTTAAAGGTGTGCGCCATCAACGCCCGGCGAAACTATCTTTAATGAAATAATTATTTCATAATTGGACTTATAAGAAAAGTTTAGCTTTGGCCTTTTGTGGCACTTACTGACTGAAACCCAGTGCTTTCTGTAATTAAAAGACAACATGTGTTTGGTTGTCTGCACACGTATATGAACAGTCAACTGCATGAATAAAGTCAGACTTGTCATTTACAATAAATATTTTCCTGGTTTTCTCCAAAAACTGAATTACTGTATTACATTTTGATTGCACTTTGTAAACCATATCCTTGATGTATCTACTCTTCAGTTGTCCTTTCATTTTCTTTTTTGAAATTTTCTGTTTACCTGTAAAAATATATCATTAGTGCTCCCTGGAGTGCACGGTATGACAGTCGTCGTTCACCTGTAAGATATGCCGCAGTTTTCAGCATTAAAATCTCTTTTCCACAAGGCCTAAGCATTCCCTAGGTTAGGACTTTTACCACTGAGCTAGAGTTCACAACAAGGCTCAACTAGGTAGGCAATTTAAAACAATCATGTTAATTTGAATTGTCCTCTTAAGCAATTAAAGGTTTTATGTCTTTTCAGAGAAAAATAAACTACTGTTTAGTTTAAGTTTTTGTTCCTTAGCTTACATTTAGTAATCTATCCTTCTAAAAGCAAATTAATGTATTATTTCTATGTTTAATATTATACATATATGTGTAATATTGTAGAGGCTCAAACGTGTTCAGTGATATATTAGGACAGCCTGATATAATGAATAGGTAACTCCCATGATACAGGTGTTTTCCTTGAAACAATACAATGGTTCACTATTCAAAAACTAAACAATTTGAAATTCTTTTGTTGTTTGTTTATTTGTTTTGGAAGTGGTGCTCCGCATTTGTAATCCTAGTACTCAAGAGCTGAGATAGGATCATGGATTTAAAGCCTGCCTGGGTTACATAATAATAGCCTATCTGAAGCCAAACAAAAAGTAATTTTTTCTAATTCACATAAAATCAGTTTCCTTAGTTTTAGAGGGCACAGTGATTATATATGAGTGTGGCATGTAAACTAAAACGTGCTTCAACCCTCATTATGAGAACAAAAGGCTAGCCATGTTTTATTGAGGGTTTATAGACAATGGAGCCTAGCAACTGTTGGATGCTAGCCTCATGCCACTGCTACACTCTGTACTGTACAATAAAAAATAATAATTATGCCATCTTGATTATTTCTAAAATCTGTTTGAGGTACTTTACAGTAAAACTTTTCCTTGTCACCCTTACCTGTAGCATACAGTATGAAAATATTTGCTAGTGTCTTGTAACTATACCAAAGAAGCAAGCTTGTTAATTAAGGGTGGTCAGACACAATATTTACTCACTTTTCCTTCTTTAAGTAGGAAAACAGTTTTCATCAGATTTCCTCCAAGTTAGGCTTCGTAGTCAGGCATATATATAATACCTTATTTTTTATTCTCATGCGTATACCCTTGAAACATAAGACCCTTAGAACAACACACCGACCTTTGCTTAGGAGATGTTCGTGGTGCTTCTCATCAAACAAGCACAGTAGCACCTCCTTCTGCTTCCGGTACTCAGCCATCTGTTCCTCTTTCTCTTCAGACTGTTCCTTAGCCTTAAGGGAAAATATTGCTTTAATCTTCCCAAGCAGAGAACAGATTGCTGTTTTAAAATGCTTCCCTTAGGAGAAGCAGATTCTCAGCTTGTAGCAAGGGTGTGCCTTAAGTATTTGTCATGGTACCAAACACTACAATGTGAAAGATAAGGTCTTATAAGACAAGAAGGAATCTTCCATACACTTGCTGTTCTCTCATTTTACTTACATTTAAATAATTTAATACTGTCAGATATTCTTCATAAAAATCAGAAATCTATTAACTCTATATTGGCTATTGTAGTCTGTAAATGTGGTTTCTTAAATATGGTTGACATCACGTTTTTTTATGTGGTTGCTATCCTTTGATTGGTTAAAGCAAATCTGCTTTATCTGCACACCCTACAGTCACACTTGCAGTTGGTGATTTGGACTGTCACAAACCGGTCATCCCAACTATCCTAATCCATCACCTTGTGGTGAAAGCCCGAAGGCAGTGTTATTGCTCATTTATTAAATAAATCTGCATAGGAAACTGGCCAACATAAAATTGTGAGCAAAATATTGAATCACCTCACCTAAAGACATTATCTTGTAGGAATAAGATGTGATGGAATTAGCCACCCAAGCATAGCATTGTGATCAGGGACAGCACTATACAGAAACAGGAGCATCACCATAGGGAGTGACAGCAGTAAGGAGGTTGGCAAAGACAGAAAGCTCTGCCTGGTGACATTCATTTTAAACCGAGAGGATTTAGAGTACTGAGCTCAGCTACTGTGAGTAACCCAGTAGAGTTCGACCATATGAAATATGTAAAGCATGAGGATCCGTGCCATGGTTGTTTTTCCTTGGAAACAGGAAGTATACATGAGAGGTTTTAGGCAAGAGGGAGAAGTCATCAGGTTTGCATTTTGGAAACACAACTAAGACGACCACAGCATGAGAATGAACTGAAAGGTCCCTTCAATGAGGAAGGGATGAAACAGTGATGAGACTTTCTTTTTAGTGGAAATCTGTTGTAGTGGTAAGTGGAAAAAAATCTGTGCAAGCTATCAAAAGGTAAAGGTGGCAGTGTTCAGAGATCCCTAACCAAAAACAAAACAAACAAACAAACAAAAAACATTGTTGAGGGTAGTGGAGAGATGGCTCGGCAGTTAAAAGCTCTTGTTCTTGTAGAGGATTCATGGTTCATGGTTACTGAAATGTTTTAAACATGAATATATCATGATAGTCCTTTGAGGTAGGTATCCTTACTTTCTATTTTGCCTACAAGAAAAGTTACGTAAGAAGTTACAGAGTCTATTTATTGTCACCCAGGTCCATGGTGACGATGAAAGTTGAACCCATATCACATGACTTTTGTGCTTTCAAAATCCCTTCACCAAGTAACAAAGTTGAATGACTAGAGATGCTGAGTCATGAAGACAGGGCAAAAGACCTCTACTGTGAAAGTAAAAAATTGGAAACAATCTCATTAAATAAAATAAAGAACAAATTGATATTGTCTGTGGCCAATGGAAAGGTTCTAGCAGAAACATCAGCAAACATTACAGATAGACATATTTGCCGAGTTTCTCTCTCCTATCCCACTTGTGCCTTGAATTGATCACAATATATAATTTTCAATGAGCATAAAAGTTATATCAACACTAACTGTTTGCTACAGGTAAAAATCTTTGTTTATGAAACAGGTCTTAGTTTGACTTCATGTGTATCCCTGTGAAGAAAGTTAAGTCAATCATGTAATATATAATCTAAGAAGACACATTTACAGAAGACAGATTGTAAATCAAATTATGAGAATAGCAGACAATTTGTGGTTGAATTTCTAACCCGTTCCACAACAAGTTTATGGCATGAATTCATAATTACCTGTATCCTCAGGAATTCCTCTTCCAGTCCTTTCAGGATATTTTCTTCAAACTTCCCCCAGAAGTTAAACCCATGTGGCTCTAAACCAGGTGTTCTTTCCAGCCACGCCTTAAGTAAATAATTATTTAGGTGAGTACCTGGCAAACATAAATACTTAACATCTTTATAATTTTGAGAAACTTGCAAGACTGTGAAGTATTCACTGAGGCCAGAGGAGAGCACTAAATCTCCTGGAGCTGTACACAAAGTTGTGAGCTACCGTATAGGGGTGCTGGGGATCAAGTTGCCATCCTTTGGAAGAGCAGTAAGTGTTCTTAACCCCTGCTCCGTCCCTCCAGCCACTGCTACAATCATTCAGAGACTGAAGATGACCTTGTAGCCTGGAAATCAATCTGACTTTATAAACACTTACTGTTTCTTTCTCATCTTGCATTTAGTTTTGAAATTGGCTTTTTATTTGCTTTACTCTTTCCTACTAAGTTTCTCACTACTGGTAGGCAATAGTAACCTAATTGCCCACACTAACACCACTCTGAAAATTAAGGGCAGGATGCGATTCACTAGAGGAAAAAAAATTAACTTGCAAAGAGAAAAACTTAGCTACAAAAATCAAGACAAACTTTGTATCATGATATCACAAAAATCAAATTAATCATCTATAAACACTTCTCATAAATTTCCAGAAAATTTGAGTAAGAAGGGAATTTTTGTGATGGAAACATTCTTAGTAATTTAACTAGTAAAATTTCTCTGTATAATTTTCAGTTGAGCTATATTTCAGAGAAACCAAGTTGATTAAATAATCAAACATAATCAAGGGAAAAAATCAGATAATTGCTTATTTGATAGGTTAATTTAATGAGATGATGGAGTTCTTAGATACTGACATACAATTATATAAGTCTTGTTGAATTTCACAATAAGATTCTTAATATCTTAAATATTTTAGTAAGCTTAATTACAAATTTAGTAGGGTTGTTTGCCTGTCTTTGATTATCATGACAGTACCCCTATTTTGATAAGAGCGTTTGAATTCTGATGCAGCAGAACCCAAGTTAACAAGAGGTTGGAGCCATACTTGGGAGGAGGTATAGGTGCTCCTACCTCCACCAGTTGCAACAGGGTCTGCTCTTGCTCTGATCTCAGCAGCAGCTGGTTGTCCTCATCTCTGAAGTTATCGCGATAGTGTCTCCTGTTGTAAGGGACTCTCAGGCTCTGAAGAACACCTATCTTATTTTCTAGCAGTCGGAACTGTAAACTCTGAAAGCCCGATGCTGGCGATAGGTACTCTCTGAGAATAAATGAGAGACCGGGATAAAAAAGAGCAAGGGAGAGATGAGATCGTATAACCCTGTACGGTTCCTTCCAAAGAGAGGGTTTGTCAGAATATCCATCAGAAGCAGAGAGCTGCCTGGAATTCTACCTAAGGAGCCCCTTACAGAAATAAAAACGAGGAACTTAAGCATCATTGTCACTGTGAACTATTTTGAAGTTGGATAGTTTCCAGCTATGCAATGTCATATATTTTAATATATGTAACACATCTTTCATTGTAATTAATTTATAGACACAGTAGATTATATAAATTTTCCATAGGAATATATTGAATAAATATACACATAAACAATAGTGTGCATCTGTGTCATACTTTTCTAAGAGAAAAGACAGGTGGACGTTAGGAAATTGTATTTTCCACAGTGGCAAAAGATAATACACAAATATTATTTAATCCCTCCTACCAAAGCTAATCATGGATATTATCAACCATCTTCCTACCCAGATGAATGTTCGTGAGATAAAGTAAGTACAAACAATGAGATGTTGCCTGACACAGACAAAAATGTGATCAAACCATCAAGAACCTTACATCTTCTAACTCCGTAAGTGATGCTGAGCTTTTATTTTTTTAAATACTACCACAAATAATCTGTCTTCTTTCATTCCCGCCCTTCCTGCCCCCGTCTCTCACTGTCTTTCCCTTTGCTTTGAAACTTGTTTGGAATATTGCCCATTACACCATATGATGGACCCAGCTTAAATTTCTTGAGAAAATTTCTTCCCTAATTTTAGAGAAGCATTCTTACATGTGTGATTTTTACAGATGTAGGTCCGCATTCTGATGCAGATATGAATGCACACACACATACAGATGGTCATGTGTTTTGGGAAGGTTAGAGCTAAAACTGACAGTGCATAATGAACACTGACATTTTGGTTGACATATTTATTTATATACCAATGCTATTTCTTGTGAGCTATTTAAGCCCTCTCATGTTTAATATTCTTTATTGAGAAAAACATGATGATAAACTGAAATTAGCTGATCATCTACTTGTATATCTAAAAATGAGACATGGAATGTTTTTAACCAGGAGGGCCTAGGTCCTGCCCTGAACGAAATGACAGACTATGGATATTGCCCATGGAGGGCCTCATCCTCCCTGGGGAAGGGAGTAGGGATTGGGTGGGGGAATGGAGGGGCTGGGGGATGGTGGGGAAGGCGTGGGAAGAGGGGAGGGAGAGGCAGCTGGAACTGATATGTGAAGCAACCTCGTTTCTAATAAAAAAAAAAACACTTCTCAAATATGTTCTGGTTAAAGTCATCAGTGTCCTTATCCTTTCATTCCACACATGTTCTTCTTTTACAGAACCAGAATGAGAGGGTGAACCCTATTACACTCTAAACTGGGAAGTGCACACCTGAAGTCGTTGAAGTCCAAGGCGGTCATTGTTTCCAGCACAGAGAACTGCTGCACCAGGAGCTTGAAGATGACCACCACACGGTGCATCCGCGTCATCACCTTCAGCATGTTCCTCTCATCCCTGACCTGATGTGGAAGGAAGAAACTCCAAGTTGTCGGTTGGATTGAGAGAAGTTACCAAACAGATCATGAATGGCAATGTAATTGTGTCAGATGTCTGTAAATATTAACAGAAATGGCAGGAACTAAAATTTACCATAAGTATCTCATGCTGGGCAGCATGCAAGAGATTTCTACAAATTGGAATTTCTTTCTATCCTTAAAGCAGATGCATGCTAGAAGCTATCCAGGAGAACTATGCCCTCTGATTCCAAAGCATGTTTCTGCTTTTTTTTTTTTTTTTGTTTTGGAGAAGTAAGTTCAAAGTACCAGAGAGATTTCTAGGAAAGGATTAGATAAACGATAACTCTATTAGTCTACTCTTCACTGAAAGCTCAGGTTGCTACTGACAAGCCATAGTGTTGTATTCACATGAAAGGCTGTGGGGGGATGAACAGGAGCTTATAGAGTAGAGACTCAGAGCTGGAACCTATAGCAGTGTCTTGAGCCTCGGGGAGAGAAGGAGATGGGAAATGAGTGGGTGCAGTTGCTCTCTCCTGGCCCCGGAATGCTGTTCTCTCTTCCTACTCTTTCTCCTTCTTTTCTTCCTCTTCTGACTCTTCCTTTTTCTTTTCTTTCATTTAGCCTATTTTGCCTTCCTTCCACCTAACTCACCATAGGTAAAACTCAGTAGAAATAGAATTGTGCTACCTGTTGTGCGATCATTACAAACAAATTAGGCTGGTAACCTACTCCATTTATAGCAGCATTTTAAGGAGAGCAGTGTGTCATTTACAAGGACTTTAAGACTTGAAATACAATGGAAATTCCCATAGAGAATCTCAGAAATCTCTTCAATCTTTTCAGTATTTTGTCAAATATTAGTTAAAATCTTCACTTCTTGCTTTCTATACGGTTATAAAAGGTATACTAACTCAGTTCAACGACATTGCAACTTACGTGGCCATTCTGAAAAATCTCACGAACAGAATCTAGTTCCCAGAGGATTTGTTTAAACCAAAGTTCATAAGCTGCAATTTTTAAAAAAGTCAGTTAGAAAGTTGCAGATGCCTCTTTTGCTATCATTATATGACAGATACTAATAAGACATTGAAGAATGTAACTTTAAAATGATCCATTTTATGTTATAAATTTTAATCATCTTTATTTCTCAAATTTCTAATATACTGGATATTTTACTTTTTTCTACATTTTCATTACTATTACAGTGGCTCCTCCCAACAGACATACTTGTTTTGGTCTTTTATGAAAACACACAAACCACTCTCACTGCATGTGTGGACACCTGTCATCAGCTTTACCCATCCACCAAGAGATTAGCAATCACAAATTTAGATGAAGGACTGTAACGTCTTATATTTGTAAATCAAGGTTGTTGTTGTTGTTGTTTGCTTGGGGGTTCTTGGGTTTAGGCTGTTAGTTATTTACACAATTCTTGGGACTCCTGGCTCAAGGCAGATGAGAAAGCAAACAGCTGACTGATCAAACAGTAACAGTGAACCTCATGCTAATCACATCATGAACTGAGAGACCCCTTGTCTTTTAAGTGAGTCGGCCTCAGGCAGCACATCCTCTCTGAGAATCTTCCCCTTCAGTTCCAGGCCACTTCTTTAAGACTGAACTCTGCCAGAGCACGTCTGCTGAGGAATGTAAGTGTATTGTGAAAATGTGCATGCAATCTCAGCACGCCAGGTCCCTCCAAGAATACAGATTGCTAGCCTGAATACCACTACTCAGAAATTAGAGATCTGAAAAATACTACCAAATATAAAACTATCAGTTTTTGCGTAATGCTGAATGTTTATAAAATTATATGTGTTTGTGAAGAAAGAGTATATTGGGGGAGCAGAGGGGAGTTAGGTTGAGGGAATAGAAGGAAAGGAGGAAGGGGAAAACTGTTGGGGTTGCAAAATAAATGAAAAAATAATTCTTAAAATTTAAAAAACAAAAATAAAACTTTAACATATTTGTAATAAATTAAAAGGACTTCTTTCTGGAAAGTAGGTTTTTCAGTGCTCATAAAAACAAAAAAATAGCATGTTATCTTGCAAATCCTTTATAAAATTTCAAAAGCCAAAAAGTTTCTCCCAAATTCAGAATAAACCAGGAGTCCCACACACTCTAATTGTCAGTGAAGGAGCATGAAGATGACCAATGAATGCTCAAAGAGGTTTCTATGAGATTTTATATAACACAGAAATCTCTCAAGTGTAGCTAGCAAATATGTTTCCTCAGTCTTTTGCAATCTTACAGATGAAGTGGCTGTTGCTCGCTGGTGATCAGTCATTACAAAAACAACTAGTTGTTTCCCAACCCTTAGGTCTTACCTTGATGAGTTATAATAAAAAGGTGTTCATCGTGGATTTTATTTCCTTTTATCTCACTTTGAAGTTCTTGGGCATTCAAAATTTTTTCCAACTTTAAATAAGAAAATGAGAAGATTGATTTTGAGATTTTTAGATCTGTCATTCAGAATACACGTTAATGCGGAGCAGACTGCAATCCTGACTAGCTAGCAAATGCCACTGCCCTGAAGTTGACCAGTTGCTTGGCCAGCTGCGCATCTGCAATACTTTCCTCTCTTCCCTCCAAAAAGCTCCTGGAAATCCTTACATTGTTTTGGTTGTTTTTACAAAACCATTTAAAATGGAATCAAGACTTTCCATCTGAAAATTTTAAGCTAAATATTAGCCATAATGGCCTCTGAATTCCTCAATGAAAGCTCTCTTAGTTACTGGTGATTTCAAGAAAGTTCTGTGTACTTTATCATTTCTGTTTTGTGATGAGGAATTTGAAGACATTTTCAGAAGTCTGGGATTCTGACCAGATCTTTTTACACGTGCTGAGCAATGCCTGACTGCCATCTGCATCATGGTTTATTTTTCACAATCTTCTATCTAGATACAGAGCTTCTGGCTCTTGCCTTACCTCTTCTAGGATGGTGCATTTCACCCCTTAACTTGCTGTAGCAAATTTGAAAGGACATAGATATATAACGAAGAGTTGAGTCCTAAGGTTTGGAAAACTGTTGATGACTGAGAAAAGTCAGGCAAGGGAAGGCCATGGAGCCAAAGTTAGTCTGATAATAGCAGTAAGCTCCAGTGAAGACTTGCCGCCTACCTGCAAGTAGTTGCCATAGATCAGTCCGCCTTTGCTGGCTCTGTTTACACCACTTTGAGCATCATTGTCTTCTTCACTGTCCTCTACAGATAATTTTTTCAAAGAATACCTGCAGTTTGAGCAAATGACATTAAAAGGGAGCTTGAAGAAACACTGTGACCATAATATAAGCCATTATAATTCTGTCACTATTTCTATTTGGTCTATTAATAAGTGAAGAAAAGAGAAATAAGTAAGGTGGCTTTTAAGCCCAGAAATGTAACTGTTTACAGGCCAAGGCTCTGGAGGACTCCCTCGTTAGAACAGAGACAAGCACTCACCCCACAGTGTTTCCTAAAAACGGGCACCCACTCATGGTGCTGAGGTGTCTCAGGAGCACTCAGGTTTGCCAGGCCAATGACAGCATCTACCTTCCCAGATACCTTAGCGCTGCCTTTTATGTATCCTAATCGCCAGTCCCAGCCAACCGGCACTCTTAGCCAGGCTCTCATTTGAACTGGTTCACAGCTGACCCTCTGTAACTGGAGGGTGGATTTGTGTTGGACACAGCTTGTTTGCTAGAAGAGTGAGCCAAATCGAATCCTCTGACTTGCCAAGTTGTGCTTTTATATCCAACGCAGAAGACGACAAATAAATCAATAGAGGCCAAGTCAATGGACATTTGTATTTAACTACCTAATTCCAATAAAGCTTTTCTAGTAGTGAAGTGACCCCTAAAGATAATGAGATTATAAACAAGTTTAATCTGTTCAAGTAGGATTGTCTTTAATTTTCTGAGGAACCAAGAACTGAATGTCCCTGGAGAAAGCAACAGAACAGGCCAGTGCTGCTAAGAGCCACAGCCAGTCCATGTTAGAGCTCATGTGGCTTCTCTCTTCTCTCATAATCAGCAGCAGGCACACTGTACTGAACTCAGCTGAGGTGTGCCAGTCACAGGGATTCACAGTTCACACTCAGCTGAGGTGTGCCAGCCATGGAAAGACAGACCCATCCACACTGGTGCAAAAAGAGCAATTACCACCTGCCCACAGTTCTGAAAGACATCATCAATATTCTTTCTATAAATACCACGTACTGGTCTCATAAATAATGGCTTTGAGTTCTGTTGAACCAAGACAGAAGCTCCATCACCCTGTCCCTAGTCAATCTGTGCTGCTATTAAGACCTTGACATGGACAGAATTGCCCACTTATCCCACTCAAAAAGAGATACATCATCATCAGGCTTCTCAGACTAATCAGAAGCCAGAACCAGTTTCTAGGCTAAGCTATGACCATAACTGGGTAATATGAAGAAACTGATTTAAATTTTATAGCAACTTCTTCTAGAAACAAAGCTTTTAAATTATAATTTGGAAGACTCTGAAGCATGTTTAATTCTTTATTTTGTTGCAGTTTAGAAATTTTAATATTTAATTGATAAGTATTATAGGATAACTAAATGCTATGATACTGAAGAATTAGAAATAATCAAACTCCTCTGCTGTGCCAGCCTAACAAGCCTTGTGTTCTGGCAATGGTTTGATCGTTGCTTATACATGAGATAGGGACCTTACTGAGTGAAGAGCTGACTGCTGCCTTCATGATGTCCTAGCCAAAAGGGTCTGAGTCAAAGAAATCTCAATTGATTCCATTTATAGACTTGCTCTTTCAGCTAGGTAGGTACTTACAAGGATGAAAGTTAAATGATTTATTTCACTCTCTTTAAGGCTTTGCATTGTAAAATACTGTTCACTTATGGGTCATCATGCTAGCACAAATGGTAAGAAAACTGATTCTAGTCTTTATAGAAAGTAGATTGCATAGGAATGAAATAGCTTTCCTTTTCTTAACTTTGCATTATGCATGGTTCTCCTAAGAAGTGTCAATTTAGTTTATTTTCCCAAGTCTAGAGGAATCATCCAATGACTTGGCTAAACGGATGAAAAGTAATTTGCTTCTTCCACAGAAAATGGGTAAAGAGATGGAGAGTAATTTGCTTCCTCCACTCAGAGTGGATAGCTATTGCTTCAACCCCTACATGCACTCATTCTTGATGTTTGCCATAGCAACCACATCAAATGTATGAGTGGTTATAGTCTGAACAATACTGAAGTGTTTTTCTACATGGATAAATTTGCTAGTTGATGTCTGCTTCAGACTAGGGATTTTTTTCTTCATTGTCCTTTTTTTCAATACGGGAAGAGGAATGTGGTGCCTTGTACATGCTAGGCAAACTCTTACTTTCTGAGCCACTTGGCTGGCCCTCGTCATTATTCTATTTTAAGCTTTTACAATTATCAATATGCATCATTCCAAATAAATTTTATAATATCTCTGTCTCCACTTGCTCTCCCCATCCCCCCTTCCCATCTCCTCCCATCATTTGCTTTTCAGTACTAGGGATGGAACCAAGTGCCAGGCAAGTTCTCTGTCCTGAGCTTTATCCCAGATCCTATAGTATAAATTTTCCACAGCTCTTGAGAAAATATACTCTAACTCAAAGCAGCAGATCTAGTGGTGAAATTTAGGCATTGTGACAGATTCAAGAAATATATGAGTAGAGGCAATGATTTCTGGGTAATCTTTGGAACTCATATTCCAATTAACTATAAATGCATGATGTACTGAGGAAATTTGCTAGAGGGAAAACTGAGGTGCATACTTTGAATATTCAAATTTTTACTAATTATCAATTTGAATGATTCCCCAAAACCATCTGCTGGAAATTTTGGAGACAAAACATTCTTCCATCATGGTATATACTAACAGAATATCAAGAATGTGAAACATGGAGAATTTTTTTCTTTTGTTGAAAATGGACTTTTTCCCTCACATGATGCACCCTGGTTATGGATTCCCCTCTCTTTACTCCTCCAGGTTATCTCACATCTCCCTTCCCATCTGGATTCACTCCCTTCTGTCACCCATTAGAAAACAGACAGGTTTCTAAGATAATATAAAAACTAACACTTTGGAATTGAACAAAAAACAAACAGAAGGAAAAAGAGACCAAGATAAGGCATGAAAAACAGAGACCCACTGTTCTCACACTCAGGAATCCCATAAAAACACTAAACTGGAGTCCATAATATATACAGAGAGGACCTGGTGCAGACCCATGCAGACCCTGTGAATGTTGCTTCAGTCTCTGAGTTCATATGAGATTTGATAAAAACAGAGAGAATCTTTAGAGCAAATCATTTATCTCTAGATCTTCTATTGAGATTTTAATAAAACAGACATGATCCTGTGAGAGCAGAACCAGGAAAAGTCTTACCAGGAAAATATGTTGGGCTAAATTTAGACATTAAATACAAATAACACAAACCACTCTTCCAATCACCGTGGTATTCCTTTAACAAGCACCATTTTACTCTGCTGTGTACTTCATTGTCTACATTTACTGCCTCAACCTCTCAAGACAATTGTCTACTTTAAAAAAATTAACAATTGCACATTGTAGCACACATGAAAGCACCAAGCTTTCAAATATTTCATAGGAACCCTTTGCTGGTCAGATACTTGATATGGTCTGATGATTGATTGATTGACTGATTGATTGGTTGGTTGATTAATTTGTTTTATTTATTGAATGTGGAAGTGCCTGACCATGTAACCCAAGATTTCTTAGATTGGAGAGACTACTGTTTCTGCCTCCAGAGCACTGGGATTACAGGGTTGTGGTCATCCATGTCTAAGTGCTTACTCCTTTTGTTATGTGTGTGTTTGCATGTATGTATGTATGTATGTATGTATGTGTGTGTGTATGTACATAACACACATGCCTAGTGCCCAGTAGGGTTAGAAAAGTGCATTAGATTCCCTGAAACAGACTCTTTTGAGCAGCCATGTTGGTTCTGGGAACCAAACGCAGATCATTTTGAAGAACACCAAGTACTCTTAACCATTGAGTCATCTCTCCAGACCTCCAAGTACTTATCCTTATTGACTCTCCCTTGTTTGCTTAGTGTCCCCACCTCTGTCCCCTTTCAGGATATCTACCTAGAAACACTAGCCAGATTACTCCCTAGGCCTACTGAGGCTATGCTTTGGAGGAGAGCAAACTCATGTCTACTTACATCACAAGGTATAATACATTTAGGAATCAAATAGCTGCTTTTTATTAAGCTTTAATCATTTCCAGACAAGGAAGAAACAGTTATTGAATACACTTGATGGATTAAATCACTACTTTGAAGTACTTTTCTCTTGGTGGTGGTTTCTTTTATTTCCATAGGTGGGACTCTAGAAAGAATAAGAATCCTTTAACTAGATTTAACTTAGTCAAACAAGATGGAGCTTACCAACATCTCAATTAAGCCCAAGGACGAACTTGCTTAGTGGTAACTGTGGTGAACTGGAGAAAAACAGGAAAGAAACTATTGCCTTCAATGGGAGGAAATTGTGTTGTTATTAAGAGCAATTGTAGGACTTTTTCTTCATTGCTCTCCAAAGGAAAGAGTGAGGAATGTTGGGAAGATGAGTGCTACTGTAGCTTATTTTAGCAATCCTGTAAATAAAGAAACAAAAGACCTAGGACAGCAAGGCAGCCACCAAGGAACCACATTCTTAAGAATGTGATTTTTCAAGTCTCTTGGAGAGTGATCTGGAGACTTCAGGTTTGCTGCCTCCATGCTAATGTGCCCCCTCCCCATCATCTGCACTCAAGGACTCAATCTTTATCATATGCTTCTGACCGTTTTCCAATAGGATGCTTTCTAAGATGCCTCCAAGAAGAAGTGATCTCTCATCTTCGGTGATTTCACCAACGTGCTTCCTATTCAAATACTTAGCACTTATCAAATGTGATTGTTATCATTGAATTCTGTGTCTGGCTTGTGTGTCACATCTCTTTATACCTTTTGAACTCAGTGTAGATCTGATATGTAAGGCTACATCTAACATTCCTCTTCCTTTTGCCCTTTGCTCATTAGAATCACAGATGTGTTCAGGTGTAGCAGAGAAAAAAAACATACCACTGTGTGGAGCCTGGAAGACAGGCATGGAAGCTAAGGAAGTCAGCAAATGAGAAAAAAAGCTATGAAACTTTGTTTACATCTGATCTTTGTCTACAGGGATGCCAGTAAGTCTACAACTTTTGATTTTCAATGAAAGCTGTGGCACAGTTATTTGGATTTGGTTGGTTGATACTGTTGTTTTCATTATTGTTTTATTTCTTGATTGTCACTTTGAGCAAAATACCCATGAAACCAATTTAGAAAGAGAAAGAGTTCATGTTAGCTCACATGTTAACAGTTTCCCTCCAGAATCCGTTGCTGCATTGGTTCCGGACCCAGGCAGAACACTGCAGTCACAGGAGTATTCATGCATGCCTGTGTGCATATGTGTGGTGGAGGATGCTGTTCGTGTCTTGGTACAGAAAAGCAGATCAAGGACAAAAATTAAAAACCAGAAAAAGGTAAAACTTCCAAAGTCCAGCCTTCAGTGACACCTTTGTTCCAGTGATCCTGTCACTCATAGTTTCCAACCCTTCCTAAAATAGTACCATGAGATGGATACTGATGGGTTAGCCCATCAACCAGTGGAAGATATTTCATAATCAAATCATAACTTTTTAAAATTCTCATGACTAATTTATCACCGCCTTATGTTTGCAAAGTTGCCTGTATAAATGATTACAGAACACTTATTATTAAAGTGTAAAAACAACATGACACTATATTTGAAATGCTTTTTCTATTCCAGGCACTCTGCTGAAGTTATTTTATTTCTCACTAAATTAATAAGTTTATTAATTTTCTGGCATCCAGGTTTTGTTCTTGATTTTAAGATGAGTTTTCTCTCCAGAAAGTCCTGAAAGTTCCAGAATCATCAACCCTCCCTGCTTCAGCTTCCTGAGTGTAGCAACAGGGTGTTATGTCTCCTCAACCAGTTTGTTCCTGTGATGAGTCCTCTGAGAAGTAACATTGCCTAGACTGCATTAGCTGTCCATTAACAGAGCAATACATAAATCAAGCATTTCATGTGACGTCAATGCTCCTTTTACACAGACTGCTACATAATTCACAATGATTAGATTATAACTTTACTAATTCTCCTCTTTGTAAAGCATAAATGTTTTACATTGTTGAACAACTAAAAAAGCCTTAAATTATCTTGTCCAATAAATAAACTCATTTTATGATTATTTGTTCATTTGACTTTGATTTTCAATTTTGTCTAATTGCATGGATATGAGTCTGACACAGATGGTGTTTTCACTAGTGTCTGCAGGAAGTAATACATTTATGCAAGCATAAGTCTCAATACTTCCATATTTTCTTCAACACCTGGTGCTGGGAACAGCCTAATGGGAAGAAATGTACCTAAGCTAATGTGATAAAAATATTATGAGGGCACTCAAAGATTCTATCCCTCATATTTTAATAAATTAAATGATTAGGATCATCTACATGTGTTGTCTATTTTATATGCTCTAGATATTTTAAATATAGACCATGTTTTAGAAAATTTCACCATTAAGCTAATTGATGGAATTTATTTAAAATAACATACTAGAACAATTCCTGGAGATACAGCACATTAGTAATATGCTTGCCTAGCATGTGTGAGGTTCAGTCCCAATGCCACAAATAAAATAATACAGGAAATACTGATGCTTGTAACCGCTGGGTACAAAGCTACATAGGTTTGTATTACAATATTTCCTTCACTCAGAGTATCAACCGTGATGACTGTATTGCCTGCAGAGTTGGAAAAATGCAGGATTAAAGTGATGAGCAGACAGATTCTTCCATGAAGCTAGGACCAGCAGAGAGAAAATAAGAAAATTTGGTATATTTACACAATAGAGTATTACTCAGTTGTTAAAAATAAGGACTCCAGGAAATTTGAAGGGAAATGGATGGAACTAGAAAAAAATCATACTAAGTGATGTTATCCAGACCAAGAAAGACAAACTCACTCATAAGTGAATGTGAGTTGCAAAAATAAAGGATAGCTATGCTACAATCCACAGACTCAGAGAAACTAGGTAACAAGGAGGGTTCATGAGGGGATGTCGGATATTTTTGGGAAGGGGAAATGGGCAAGATTTCGGTGAGTGAACTGAAGACAGGTGGGGATAGGAACATGAGCAATCAGGTCAGGGTGGCAATGTGGGGACAGTACTCAAAAAGACTACTGGAAAGGGAGTAGTTGCATTTCGGAGACAAGTAAAAATCTGGAGCGAGGGAATCCCCTAGGAATCTATAAGGATGACCACAGCTAAGACTCCTAGCAATAGCAGACATGATACCTGAACTGGCTATATCTCCTGTGACCAGATTGGTGCCTATCCCAACTGTCATCAGAGAGGCTTCATACAGCAACTGACAGAAACATATGCAGACCCACAGCCAAACATTAGAGCTTGGTGAATCCTGCAGAAGAAGAGGAGAAAGGATTATGAGACCCAGAGGGGTCAAGGACACAGCACAAAAACTCATAGAATCAACTAATCTGGTCTCATAAGGGCTCTCAGAGACTGAACAGACAGTCAGAAAGCTTGCGTGGGACTTACCTAGGCACTTAGTATATATGTTACAGTTGTGTTGTCTGACTCTTTTAATGGCTCTTGGGACTCTATTTCTCATACTTGGTCACCTTGTCCAGCCTCAATATATGTGGAGGTACATAGTCTTATGGCTATTTGATATGCCATGTTTTATTGATACTTGTGGGAGACCTGCCGTTTTCTAAACAGAAATAGAGGAAGAGCGAATTGAAGGGTAGAAACAGAGGGGGTGGGGGTAGAGAGGCTGGGAGAAGATGAGAAAGGCGAAACTGTGGCTTTGATGTAAATTAAGTAAATAAAAAGATGCAGTGTATAAATATTTTCAAAGTAATAATTTTAATCCAGGCATTGAAGTGCATTATAGTATGAATCTGTTTTTAAAGTAATTCTGATGAAACAAAATTTTCTTTCCTCCTACCCCAAACAATAAAATTTAAAAAGCACCATCTCTGAGATACTAAATAAGATAAAATCATGGTTAACGCTAGCTGTCCAGTTGGCAAATGTTACCATCACTTAGGAGGCTAGTCCCTGGGCATCTCCACGGGGCATTATCTTGATGGTATTAAATGAGGTGAAAAGACTTTCCCAGTGTGAGTGGCACCTTTTCCCTAGGCAGAGGATCCTGGACAGAATGAAGTGAATAGAACAAGCAGAGCAGCAGCATGCAGGTAGTCATGGCTCTCTTATAACTGACGGCACAGTGTGACCAGCTCCTTCAAGCCAACTCCTGGTGCCTCGTTTTTTTGCACCATCATGGACAAAAATGAACCCATTCCCCCTTAAATTGTTTTGTCAATGTGTTTTAATTTAGCAACAGTAAAAAAACAAAGCAAAAATACTGAAAAAGTTTAACTCCATTTGCCAAATGCCTTCATCCAACCGTGGCTTTATCCCCCACCTCTGACAGAAGTGACAACCATCCCAGTACTTCCTTCCCCAGTCACCACGTGAGTGGTGGCTCTTGAAACTCTGAGGATGTTGATTTGCAGATATTGAGCTGCACAAGAGTTGTCAAATCAATTATTCAAAACTTCCAATGAAAGTTTATCTAAAATTATTTTTAAGACACTTGTTTCACTAAATTTGGCAAAGGTATTAATTAATTTCATGGTTTGTTAATTCTGGGAGCCAGTGCTCTGGGACCTACCATTTCTACAGTGGTTTATTTTTTATAGATATTTTGTTATCTTGTGCAAGAGAAATTCAAAGAGCTATTTGTTTTCCTAAAGTCTTTCAACTTACTGTGACCTCTCTTCTCAAAGTCAAACCACACGGTTTTCAGAAGTAGTTTTCCTTCTTTAAAAAAAAAATTTTAAGTGCGTGGTATTTTTCTCTTTCTCTGTGTTTCTTAAAATATTCTTCATTTGCTTATGTATGCATGCATATGCAGGTCAAAGGATATTTTACAGAAGTTAGTTCCTTCCATCTACCATGTGGGTCCCAGGGAGAGAATCCAGATGGCTATCCTTGATAACATGTGTATTTACCCACTGAGCCAATCATGGCCGTCTGTGTGGACTTTTAGCAAGTAGTCAGATAATTAATACAAAGAACAACCAAGCAGGGTAAATAGTGAGTACCAATTCTGAGTGTTCATTGAATACAATGCAAACACCAGATTTCACTCTGAGATAGGAAAACCCTGTGGATGCAGTAACAAAGCAAACATCTGTAGAGACCCACTGAGGTGACAGGAGGTCCACTCCACTGTGGACAGACAACACTGAAAAAAATACATCCCAGTAGAAGACATATTTTAATCAAGGCTTAAAATTTCAGGAAACTTTTAAGATGCTCTTCTCATTTAGAACCACACCATAGCATCTTAAGAAACCGCTTGTTCCTCAAGGCAGTGAAGGAGACTACACCCAACACATCCATGTGCCTTCTTCCTCTAACACCAGAGACTCCAGTGAAACTTCTTAACCTACTTTCAAAAACCTTGCCTCTTGGGAAAAAATTACAACACTCTGTCAGTTGTTATTGTATAGTTGTGTTTATTATTTTGTTGTTGCTGATGTAATAAAGTACTTTTATGGGGTACTTGAAGGGAAAAACTCCCAAGTGGCCTGATTAAGTCTAATGGAGTCTCTATTAACTGCTGGCAGGACTGCCCCAAGCAGATAAAAGGGAAACATCCTAGACCTCCAGTTGATTTGAGTTTCTAACGGCCAAAAAATGCAATTGTGACATATAGAGAAAGCTCTGGACATCTGCAACAAGCAAACATTGACTAAAGTAGTGAAGGGATAGCAGTTAAATCGTCAGGCAGTTACCTTTTAGCTCACAGTCATGTGGTATAAGAATTTAGGGCTGGTCCACAGACCAGCTTTACCCAAGATAGTTTATCACTTAAAATAGTCTTAGGAATACTTTCATGAGCAAGCATAACTATAGTTCAATAGCCCACTATCAGAAAAGGCAACTTAAGGAAGAAAGTTTAATTTGGTTTACAGTTCTAGAGAGATAGACATCCCTGTGTTGGGGAAGACATTGAAGAATGACGGTAAGCTGAGCAATGGCATCTCAACCACACATGCAGGCAGTGAGTGGTGATGATGTGGCGTGGGTATACACATTGGAAGTGGAAGAAGCTGCTATCATTTAAAACCTCCAACAAAGCTCCACATCCAAAAATTCTGTGACCTCTCCAAACTGTGCTACGAACTGGGACCAAGGATTCTAATATATGAGCCTCTGAGAGGTAGTTCTCACTCAAACCACCATGGCAGCCATGATGTTTCTTTACATTGCCCATTTATTTTACCATGTCAGTTCCAGAAAACATAAGTCTACAAGTGAGTACAAGTGAGATGTTAAGGTCTTATGAGAACAGGTGGTGTTCAGTGTTTCCAGTTCAGGACTTCCCAAATTGTATTCTATGTAGTAGTTACTTGACAGATTTTTTTTGGACATTTTCATCTTGTAGTCAATCTAATGTACATATACGTGTTTGTGTGTGTGTGTGTGTGTGTGTTTATTTTCCTAAACCCTGTGGGTCACAGAACTTACAGGTACCATTTCCTTTTAGAACAGAAAATGTGTAGGCAAAGAAAGAATAACTGTATTTTTTTTGTTTTATGAGACAGGGTTTCTCTGTATTATTTTGGAGGCTGTTGGTCCAACCCGGCCTCCAACTCACAGAGATCTGCCTGTCTCTGCCTCCCGAGTGCTGGGGTTAAAGTTGTGCACCACCACTGCCCGAATAACTGTATTTTTAATGAGTTACCTGCATTCGTTAATTTTCTTTAATGAGCCCACTGTACTCCAAGCACCAATGCAAAATACAGGAGAATGATTATTGAAGAGACCTTCAAATATTAGATAAATGCATTCATATAGTATTCTAAAATAATTTTGACACTCTCTTCTCTGTGAGTAAACAAACCAGTTTCATTAAAGATGAAATCTAAGGAGTTTAGATTGGGAAGTACAAGCAACTGTTGCCTGCTGGAGAAAAGAAACCCTTTCCTTCCCTTGTATTTCCTTGATCAAATAAGTTCTGAACATGTGGATAAATCATAAATAAGTATGCTATTATCTCTCTAGCATGAAAAAACTTGTACTGATCACATTTTCAATACCAGGGCCATCTTACTACTTCTTTTAGAAGCAACATTCCTCCAGAG